AAAAAAAAAAAAAAAAAAAAAAAAGAAAGACATCCAGAGACAGGAAGGACTTCCTGCAAAGCTCAACCACTCTCTGGAAAGGTCAGGGCTGAAAGCCCGACCACAGCCAACTGTTCCAACCTATTCTTTTTAATTTTTAAAAATGTTTTATTTATTTTTGAGAGAAAGAGTGTGAGTGGGAGGGGGCAGAGAGAGAGGGAGCCACAGAATCTGAAGCAGAATCCAGGCTCTGAGCAATCAGCCCAGAGCCCGACACAGGGCTCAAACCCACAAACCCACCAACTGTGAGATCATGACCTGAGCTGACGTCGGATGCTTATCCAACTGAGCCACCCAGGCGCCTCTATTCTTGCTTCTCTACCACACAGGACGGGGCGGGGGGGAGGGGGGCGGCAGCTGACCAGTAGGGCTCCACTTTTCCTCTCCCTTCAGGACAGCGAGGCTACACGGCGGAGATGGGGTGCAGGTGGCGGCCCCAGCCCACCAGACTGCTCCCCTCGAGCTGCTGCCCCCTGGCTGGGCTTCCCCCAGCCAGGGACCCAGTGTCCTCTGCCACCACGGTGCAGGCAAACAGAGCCACCACCAGAGCCCAGGTCTAGGAGGCTGCTCGGTCACTTCAGCCTCCTGTCAGCACGTCATGGCCTGGAGGGGCCAAGTGGAGATGCCTCATTGGACTGACGGCCACTGGGAAACCAGGAAAGGAAGTGCATTCGTGCGTTGGGGGGGTGGGGAGTCAGGCGCTGAGGGCCGATGCAGTCTGACCCTAGCCTGCTGTGACATGCCCACAAACTGCTGGCCCATGGAAGCATCTGGATGGTACACCTGACAGAGACAGAATCTGCTTTACACTAGTTTGGAGCCACAGATCTTGGATGAGCACGCACTAAGACCTTCGGTCATTAGCAGGGACAGGGACCATTTACTGAGTGCTTCCTGCATGCCAGGAACCCCTGGTGTAGCCCCAAAAACCCCAAGCTCCCGTGAACTCTGGAGGCAACCCCGCAAGGCTGTTTAAACAATAGTGAAGGAAGCTGAAGCCTCAGGGGTTGGTTCAACAGGTCCCACGCCCGGAGATGCAGACCAGGGATTAACACCTACTGCTGGCTGCCGGCACCACCTGGCTCCTGGCCGCACGTGGTCAATCCTGCGGGGCCACGCTCTCTGGCCACCCAGGGAGCCCATTTCGAGACACTCCCTTGCCGGCATCACGGAAGTACAGGCACGGATAGGGGCATGTCGTAACATCTCCGGGGCTGGTCAGGGGAGGTGGGGGGAGGTCAGGTGCTCGGGTTTGGCAGGGGGTGTGTAGCCAGGGCAGGCAGAGAGGTGAGGGTGGCTCCCCAGGGCCAAACATCAGCTTCCACCATGGACCGTGCAGGAAGATAATTTTGGGCTTGTTTAGGCTGAAAAGGGACAGGTAATGATATGGAGCGTGAGGAACAGGGATGATCAGAGACAGGTGTGAACTGAGCAGGGGGGCCCTGCCCCTTGCACAGGACCCACCCCCCGAAATCTACAAAGGGAAACTCACTGTGACAGGTATATAGAAAAGGGTCGAGGAGGAAAGCCTTCCAATTTGCAGGCATCCCAGCTTTCTGGACCATTCTCATGTACTCCACTGGATAAATGGGACCTGGCTCCTCAGAGTGTGATGCCTGGACACATGCTGACAGCAAGAGCATCCTCTGGGAGCCCAGTAAACAGGCAAATTCTCAGGGAGCCCCACCTCAGACCCATGCAGTCAGAAGCTCCAGGGTGCAGCCTGTGTCCCGGCAAGGCCACCAGGAGTCTGGGAACCACTGGGCAGACCACAGACTTCCTGACAGCAGGGCTTTTGTGTGCTTTCGCCAAGTCCTAGTGCACAGAGCAAGTGTAGAAATGTAAATGAAGGGAGGGCAGGGCCCGGGGCTTCTATTTCCTAGTGCCAACCACCAGACTCAGCACCTAGCAAATCTGCGAGAAAAGCTTGCCAATTAACAGTTTGCTTTGATTTTCAGGAGCAGACACTATGCACACTGTGTAACAAGTAGTAGGTGCTCAATAAGTATCTGCTCAATATTTAGCGTTTCCACCATGGCCTATAACGTGGGTCATAGTTTACCATGCAGCTAAAGGAAGTGCCACTGTTTACTTCAGAGAAATGAGAGAGAATCACAGATGCATTAAAAATCCTTACAAGGGGGCACCTGAGTGGCTCAGTAGGTTAAGCATCTGACTTCGGCTCAGGTCATGATCTCACTGTTAGTGGGTTCGAGTCCCACTTTGAGCTCTGTGCTGACCATCAGCTCAGAGCCTGGAGCCTGCTTCAGATTCTGTGTCTCCCTCTCTCTCTTACCCTCCCCTGCTCATGCTGTCTCTCTCTCTCTAATAAATAAAACATTAAAAATTAAAAAAAAAAATCCTTACAAGATCTCAGGGTGCCTGGGTGGCTCAGTGGGTTAAGAGTCCAACTCTTGATTTTCAGCTCTGGTCATGAGATCGAGTCCCACGTCATGGAGCCTGCTTAAGATTCTTTCTCCGTCTCCTGCCCCTAACCTCTCCTTCTGCTCATGCTTGTGCTCATGCTTGCACTCATGCACACTCAAAAAAACAAACAAAAAAACCCTTACAAGATCTCATTTGCAAGAAAGTATCCTTCATCTGTTCAGTAACCCAACTGCTTACATGACTGAAGGCAGGCAGAGCATGCAAAAGGCACCCGTGCAGCTTCAGGAAAGCTAAACAGAGACACTGGCAAGGTGGCTGAGGAGGGTACGCAAGGTGGCTGAGGAGGGTACCCTAACGCCAGTGACCTCTGGGGGTCAGAGCTGCAGAATGCAGGTCGGCACATTAGAGCTGGGGGTCAATCTCAGTTGGCCACATGTTCTCGTATGGCTTCAGAGCTAAGAAGAGTTTTTACATTTTTAAAATAATTTAAAAAAATTTTTTAAAAAGAAAAGCCTTACGTTGACACTTAAATGAAACTCAAATGTCAGCGTCCGTAAGTTCTGTAGGAACACAGCCATGTCCATTCATTGACAGATGATCTAAGTCTGTGTCCTGATGAAAATCGCAGAGCTGAGAGGCTGCAACAGAGACTGCATGGCCCAGAAGGCCCAAGATATTTACTCTCTGCGGAAACAACCTGCCAGCCTCTGCTGGTGAAGGCTCAGGGTAAGTGGGTATTCGGGGCTTTGCCACAAAAGCCACTGTGAGCTCCTAGCCCCGCCACGTTGGGTGCTGGCCATATTCCGAGAGAAGCTCCCAGTGTGGGCACACCTCATCCCTACACTCTATGCTGGCAGCAAATTTCTGCCCGCCCACCTGACAGTGGAGAAAACAGCCTAAGAGGTCTGGGGCCGGCTGCCCGCGCTCAGTGGCTCGCTAGCCAGCGGGTATCCTCCCCGGTCCAGGCCACACCACGCCCACCCCCATCCCTTCCCGGGTCTTCACTGCCAGGGTCTTGGCCCCCAGTGCCAGTGCGGACAGCGGGTGGGGGGAGACAGGCTCTCTGTGTCCACGCCCTGGGCCACTCACAGGTGTGGGGGAGTGCCGGTTGCTCTCCTCCAGAAACTCCTCCAAGGTGACCATCTCACTGCTCGGGGAGGCAGAGCAGGGCCGTCCCCCAGAGTGAGGCTGGCCCGCAGCCCTCCTCTGGATGCCCTCCTGGGGGAGAGGCCCGTTCCGGGGCGGGGGGCACTCATGGCGGCTGAGGGCGGCGCGTCCCGTGGTGCTGGCGTCCCGTGGCAGAGTGGCCGTGTCCCGGCTGGGGATCAGGTCTTCACTGCTGAAGCTCTCAGACCTGCCGTGGAGCTGGTCAGAGGAACCTGGGTGTGGGGCGGGACAGAGGGACACACGTGAGTCTCCCTCGCCGTCTCATCCGCCTCCAGCGGGCTCTGTGCTGCTTTATAGTCACCGAAAACAGCCCTGCTGAGGCGCCCAGGCCACCCATCTGGGCTACGACTCGGATGTTAAGAACGTTTGGAGGATTTCAGTCTGGCATTTAAAAACAAAATTACTTGAGATAAAAGTTGAAAGCTTCCGGTAACGTTTATGTTATTATTTAATATTAACAGCCTGAAGGCACCACACTCCTCCATCCGTGTGTCAAAGGCTTATTTAGCACCCGTTCCAGTTCCAGGCTACGGGGCTTCCAGGGGCTGGTCAGGCGCAAGCAGAGGAAACAAAGGATCTGTGAAAAGTTTCCAGTCTTGGGACCACACATTCTTTTTAAACGCACGGCAACACTAAGAGACGATACTGTGCGCTATGAAAGTTAAAAAAAAAGTCAAAGAATCGAAGTCATCCCACTCCGGCCACCACGGATGGAACTATGGTCAGTACCCCCCATGCTACAGATGAAGTAGCTCTGATTCAGAGGACAGGTGGGGGGCCCGGTACCCCAGAGTTGGTCTATGGGGATAAAGGGATTCAAATTCAAATCCACTCGAAGGCCATGCGTGTGCCTGAAACAGCACGGTGTGGACTCCACAGGGAAATGCCTGATGCGGCAGACCACGTGGTGAAGGTTACCGCCTTAAGCATAAAACGAGGCCAGAACCAAAGCCCCAAATAGAAGGAAAAGTGCGTGGAAGCCGAGGCTGACCCACCTTTCAGGTTAAGAGGCGAGCTGTCGCTGGATGCATTCCGACTGCTCTCCAAGCTGCCTGGCCGGGACACTGAAAGGAAACGACTCTCGATGTGAAGGGGCCAACAGGCAGGTGTCCCCCAGACGAACCACCTGACCCGAGGAAGGCTGTGGAACGAAGCACGTCCACGCCAGACTTCAGGCAAATGCCCCCGGAAGGATGGACTCAGGGGCTCTCCATCCCCCCATCAGGAGCTCCGGCATCACCAACGTGTGTGTGAGGCACAGCGTCCGGGAGGCAATCCAGAAGCGACAGCCAGCATTGTTTTTAGTAGTCTAGGGCCACAGCTTAAGACGATTTTGTTAACAATGGGAATCACACACACAACTCCAGACCGAAAGAAAAGGGCTGCTCAGGGTGAGCCAATGGTTGAGATGAGAGCGCCCGCGCCTATTACTACATAGAACTTTCTGGAACACGTGTGAGACCTGGTGGGGGTGGGAGCGAGGAGACGGTGGGGTGCACGCCTACATCCAGGGCACCTTCACTTTGCTGATCCATGGGAATGATCCCAGGACTCATTCCCCTCAAGAGGGGAGGGAGGGCTCGCTTTTCCTGGCTGTGGCCCTTCAGCTCCTCGCTTCCTCTGCCTCAAATTTCCATCTGCCAACGAGGGAAAAATTGAGCCTTCCAGGAGACAAGGAGCTTGGAGACAGCGGCTCGGCTCGCCTGGCTGCAGGAGCAGGGGCTGCGAGTAGATTCACTGCTGCAAAGGGCGGGCTGGCCCGTCAAGGCCGGAGACCCCCTTCTCCCGGCCCACTCCTCCAGGAGCCCTGCCCGCCTGCCCTGCACCACTGCTGGTCCTCCTGGCCCACGAACCCCTGGGGGACAGAAACTGCCTTTCTGTCATCCCTGCGTCAGCACGCAGCTGGTGTGGAGCCGAATAGCACAGAGAACCGAAGACACACTAGGAGGCGCTGTGCTTGCTGGGCCCCTGGGGACAGTTTGCTCTTGCTTCCCTGGGTCTATAGGGCTCCCAGTTCCCAAGTGCTGGTGCGCTCTGCAAATAGCAGGCATCTGGAAAACTCTTACTAGCAAACAGGGTTTGGGGAAGAGCCAAAACATCCTTAGTTTTCACGAACGGTGTAAAAGCAGAGCAAGTCCCCTCTTTCAGAAGGGAAAAATTTTAAAAAGCTGCACCTCTCTCTTTAAAAAGGAATTAAGTTTCTGGGGCGCCTGGGTGGCTCGGTCAGTCCGGTTGAGTGTCTGACTTCAGCTTAGGTCATGATCTCACTGTGAGTTCGAGCTCCATGTAGGGCTCTGTGCTGACCACTCTGAGCCTGGAGCCTGCTTCGGGGGCGGGGGCTGTGGTGTGGTGGGGTGGGGTGTGTGTGTGCGCGTGCTGTGGTGAGGTGTGTGTGTGTGTGTGTGTGTGTGTGTGTGCTCCTCCCCAGCTCACACCCAAAAAAACAAACATTAAAAAAAATTAGCAAGGAATTAAATTTCATTAGAAGAAAATGGTGATACAGATCAATAGGGCCTCAAAGCACTTTTGTTTACTCAACTAAGGCACTGAAAACTGCTTTTCCTTCCTTTTCCCGGATAAGAAAAGCAGGAATTGGAGTGCTTCAGTAAAAAATTCCCCTGGCGGTCAGCCACTGGAGCCCCAATCTGGCTCCCCAGTGCACCCAACAAAGCACCATGGCCAGTACGTCAAGGTGTGTTACCCTGTCCTTGGTGCAAAGATACATGGGCCCCTTACGTCAAACAGCTGTGCCACAGAGCATGTCCTTCCACTCATACGGAGTGCCAGGGTCTGTATCTGTAGGAATGTCAGCATCATAAGTCATTGAAGACCATGATGGGCAGGAGAGAACGCTATAGTAGCTCCTATGTTTACTGTTGATCACTTCCAAAATGAGCAGGTTCCTTGTGAGCTTTCTGAGTTTACGAATTATTTCTCTACCCTTCTAGGATTTTTGTTTTCAAAAATCACAAAAACCCAAAGTAGCTTTTAATTTTTTTTTTTAAATGTTTTATTTATTTCTAGGAGAGAGAGAGAGAGAGAGAGAGAGACAGCGTGAGCAGGGGAGGGTCAGAGAGATAGGGAGTCACAGACTGAAACAGGCTCCAGGCTCTGAGCTGGCAGTCAGCACAGAGCCCGACGCAGGGCTTGAGCCCACGAACCGCGAGATCATGACCTAAGTGAAAGTCGGACGCTCAACCGACTAAGCCACCCAGGCGCCCCAGCTTTTAATTTTTAAGAAGGCTGGTGTGATTCACGATTTCCCTTCTGCAGAAACTTGCAATGTTATCTCAATTAAACGGTCAAGTGCTTCATCAATTTCTAAGACTACGTATAACTCGGAGCTACTATGGAAAACTAAACTCCAACTGAGGACAGGGAGGGACCTCCCTGCACTCAGTGCTCCCTGTGTGGGTCACCACGATGCCCTGGCAAACCTGAGGGGCACCCCAAAGCAAGGGCAGTTGGAGCCTGTAGAAGCGAGATACTTGAGAAGTGGTGACTTCCGGGGTTCCTGGGTGGCTCAGTCAGTTAAGTGTCTGACTTTGGCTCAGCTCATACTTTGCAGTTCGGGAGTTCAGGCCCTGAGTCAGGCTCTGCACTGACAGCTCAGAGCTTGGAGCCTGCTTCAGATTCTGTGTCTCCTTCTCCCTCTGCCCCTCCCCAACTTGGGCAGTCTCAAAAATAAACATTAAAAAAAAAAAGAGGTGGTGACTTCCCTGTCCCCGGAGGTATGTAAGCAGTGGCCTCATGCCCAGGACCCTGGGGAGGGCAGGAAGGATCCTGGAGGAACTGTGGCCCCTCTCCATCCTCACTTCAACAGGATGACTTCACTTCTACTCATTTTGTATGTCGGACTTCCACACAGGACTGCACTTTAAGGAAAAGTACTGCAGAGGAAAACGAGTCTGAGACCCCACGCACAAGGAAGCAGCACTGATACTCACTGTACTGCCTGTGGTTGAACTCCAGCTCCAGGGACGGGTCCCAGAGGCTGTCATCTGAATTATAGCCTAGGGTGAAAGTAAGGTCATTGGTTATTAACACAGGGGTTTCTGGAGCACTCTGAAAAACTACGGACTCTTAGGAAAAAGTGTATTTTTATTTGTCATTTGACGCAGCAATCTGACTTCTAGGAATCAATTCTAGGAAGGGTTGCTTGAAAAGACTGTGTGTGATATGTGGCTGTGTTAGCTGGCATGCAGCTTTAGAAAGAGTAAGAAAGATCTCCCTGGTGTACGCCTAAGTGGAAAAAAGAATCAAGGTACATATATACCACTTATTTTTGCAGAAAGAAACACCAGGAATTTCGACGAGTAATGAAAGAAAAAAGGTATCCACAGAGTGGTTTTTTAATGGAGTGCAGGGGATGGGGGCTGAGAGGGGACCTTGAACACTGAGGACACCTTTTCACATAATTCAGGTCTCTGAATCTATATTACATATTAAAAAACACAGGGTTAGGGGCACCTGGGTGGCTCAGTCAGTTGAGCATCCAACTTCGGCTCAGGTCACGATCTCACGGTTTGTGAGTTCGAGCCCCGCATCAGGCTCTGTGCAGACAGCTCAGAGCCTGGAGCCTGCTTCAAATTCTGTGTCTCCCTCTCTGACCCTCCCCAACTCGTATTCTGTTTCTGTCTCAATAATAAATAAAGCATTAAAAAAAATTAAAAAACCCCACAGTGTTAATTTATGAAGAAAGAAGTCTAAAATTGAAAACAAACCTCACTGCATCACATTGTTAACAACCACACAGAGACATTTACCTGCAGTGAATTCCGAATGTAAGGCCCTGTGTGTGATCCTTAGTGAGATGGAACTTAAAGAGTAAAAGAAATCTAAAGAAAATATCGCTTAGTAGATTTCTTCTAACTAGTAATACTGGTATAACTTATTAAGCCATTTACTGCATATTTGGGGGAAAAAATAAGTGTTTCAGTAGACCAATTTCTGTATTAAAAAAAGGACACACAAATATGAAATCAAAGAAAAAAAATCCCCGTGATGTTAAATTTGAATTGGAAATGTTGACACAAACTTAGAATTATATCTACCTGTCCCATCTTTCTTGTAATGAAAGGGCCCAGAAGCAATGGCAACTTTCTAGTGTCTGGATCTCGATTATTAAATTCTGCTCTAGGGGTGTCTGGGTGGCTCGGTCGGTTAAGCGTCCGACTCCTAATTTTAGCTCAGGTCATGATCTCACAGTCGTGAGATGGAGCCACGCTCAGTGTGGAACCTGCTTGGGATGCTCTCTCCTCCCCTCTGCCTTTCTCCCTTGGTTGTACATGCACGCTGTCTCTTAAAAAAACAAAAAAAACAACAACGATCAATTCTGTTGTTCTGAAAAAAATCTGATTTACTTAAAGAAACAGCTGATTCTAAGGTGGGGGAAGGGGGTGAGTTCTGCTTGAAGCTGGCTATTTGCCCACCAGCAGTGAGTACTGGGGAGCATAAGTACAGAACGGCAGGGAATCGCATGGCCAGGGCTGGGTCTGCAGAGGTGACCCACCTTCCTGCAGGTTTTGCAGGGGTAGGAATAGCCAGAGAGGTTTCTCGGCTCAGGCCCTGGTTTAGGACTGGGATCTAGACAGGGCCCACAGGTTAGTCTGAAGGGCTGGACCTTGAGCCATGCAGGCCGCTGGAAATCCGAGGGGAGATGGGGTCCCGGCTCCTCCCTGAGACCAGGCAGGCCTTCTGTACCCCAGGCCCTGGGAGAACGGGGAGACTGCTGACTGCTGACAAGGAGCTCAGAGCAGGCCTGTCCAGTCAGCACGTGACACCATCCCCTTGACCTCCAGCAGCAGGTGACTGCCTCTTCCAGTGTCTGGCCAGGAATAGAGAAGGACCGCCTGACTGCCCTGTGTCCACTCAACTCCTCTCCCCGGTGGCGTTCGTGAGCTGTGAACAAGGTCGTGGAGCCAACCCAGGTGTGCCTTGAAGGCAGGGACCCTGTGTGCTCTGCTCATCAAACCAAGGTTCTCCACAGCCACGTTTCAAGAGTCAAGCGTGTGGTGGTGTGAAGAATAGTAATCCTTCCCAGCTCTCTCCAATTTCCAGCACCCCAGAGGCACCCCCTCCAGCTGCTGCTAGAGATATTCTCATGTCTCTAAACCGTAAGCAGGATGTCTTTTTTTAGTTTCAAGCAGATCTTCCTTTCTGTTGTAGATTTTAGCCTTCTAAGCTCTTTTCCCCCTAACTGCTCTCTTTCACAGCATCCTGCTCTTATTTCATGCGTACAATCCCCTCACTTATCTCGGACTCTAGTAACAACAGGCATTTCAAAGCTGTCACTTCTGTGCTTATTGTCTGTTTACTCTATGGCCTCATACTGGTTTTGGTCCCTGTGTCTGGAAGCTCTCCTCTCCTTCAGGCCCAGGGACCCCTGAACTTCCCTAGGCCTCACTCCGCAAGACGTGACTGTGCCATTCTGGGGGGAATTTCTCAAGCTTATCAGATGGCTTGAAGAACACTTGAATCTCCCGTCCAGAGGTGTGGACACGTACAGCCCCTGGCGCCCTGGGAGACATTCAGTTTGTAAGTCCTTCCCCAGATCCCCTTGTCCTCAGTTCAGGAGACATGCCCTCCACTCTCTCGAGTGACCTCCAGTTCAGAGGCTCACGTTTCCTCCATAGAGAAGAAACCTCCCAACTGCCAGCATGGTGGAGAGAGGGCATTGGCTGCATGTAGCCCAAACTCAGGTTCCCCTGCCTCCTGGAGCTGCTCACTTCCCCCAATCCCTGAAGAGTGCTGGTGACCGCAGCTTAGGATCGGGCCTCCGGATGGTGGCCGTCTGCCCCGAGTCACACGGCTGGTAGGCAGAATCTGTGCCTTCATGATGCCAAAGCTTGTGTACAGCTTCCCTCCTCCGCTTACCACCTCGCAGCCTGGGGTCTTCAGGAAGGACCCTGGGTACTTATCGCTCTTCCTCCGGAGGAGCCCACGACTCACCTTTGGTGCGGCCTGGGTGCCGGGAGATGGGGGTGGAGCTGGAAGGGGTTGTAGTGATGGCTGAGGTCGAGCAGGTCCGGAAGCTCAGCTCCGAGGGCCCAGGTTTCACGGCTGGGTCGGCGGAGGCCTCGGTGCGTTCAAGGCCGCCTCTGTGCGGGGACCCTTGCTTTGGTTTTAGGTCCCCAGGGCCTGGGGCAGAGAAGGACATTGAGAAATGGGGCTGCAAAAGGCCGTGCGAAGGCTGGGCTGCCACACTGAGGCCTAGAAGCAGGGGCACCAGGGCACACGGACCACAACAGGGACAGGGGCTGGGCTGCGGCTCCGACAAGAGGCTCCACGCTGGAGGCCCAGAGAGGCCGGGCCCGGCCCTACAGACGGACCCTCCTGCGAGCCCTGACAGGCCGGGAGAAGATAACTCAAGAGGAGACACCGACCATTGCTACAGGGGCCACATGGAACCATGGGGCACACGTGCCGTGTGCAACTCCAAGGACTGAACTACACAGTCCTCACTACATCTGCTCAGGGTCACTCCAGGCCTGCCGCCGTGGTTCGAAGGCCCAGCGCGTGCATCCCTCCAGCTAGCTTCACGAGCAGTTTGAGAAAGACGTTCATGGCCACACTAGCCACGCTAACTGATGTAGGAGTCTCAATTTCTGGAAGAGTGACTTCTACCTTGAGTCTTGCGCTTTTCTGCAATCGCTGTATTTTCTACCATGAACACATACTCTTATTAAACAAAATCTGTACAAAAATGTATTAAAAAAAACCTAACTCATTCCACCTACCTAGTAGTAGGAAAGGGGAGGGGTCTCTGAAGGGAAGGTAATCACCTTGTCCCACCACAGGAACCCAGCAGCTGGGGACCCAGAGCCACGGCCCTCCAGCCAAAGTCTGGACTCGCGGGGAAGTCTTCAGTGCCCAAATCTTACAACTTGAAACCAAGGCAAAATTTGGATTCTGAAAGATACCCTTGATGAGAAGCAAGATTCAAGTCTGGTGGAATGAGTTGGGACAAGCATCCAACAAGCGCAGTTAAAACGAGGAGCGGGGGGGCGGGGGGCGAGGAGGGCGAGGTGAGCAGACAGCACGAATGGCAGGAAAACAGGACAATCCCAACGACATGCTGGCGAGACAGTCCTGGGGGACCAGGAGCACGGTGGCCCGCGGTCCCCAAGGTGGAGTGCGGGAGACGAAGTCAGGGCCACACTGACCGGCTTCAACAGCCTGGTAGGGATGTGTGTATTTTTACGGTTAGGCTGATAGCCGTTTTCCACCGGTATTCTTACTGACGGCACTGGTAAGAATCCTTCCCTTTAACGTCAATTTGAGTAGCAATGGTGAGTCAATTCAAGGGAAAACATGGAAGTGATCATACAGGTGATAAAAAAAAAAAAAAAAAAAAGATGTGGTAAAACTCAGGAAGACCCACAAGAATGACAGAAGACAGCGAACAGTGCAGTAGCTAAAGGCCTCTATCGACCAGCAACCCTCCGCTCTGGGCGTGACTGCCGTGCTGATGGTCTTTCCGTCCACGTCCACGAGGTCAGAGGGCTACCGCACAGTCATAAAACTTCATTCTGGGCTGCCCTCGGGCTTGGCAACATCGATCCAATTATACAGGATGCTTGAATGGAGCAATAAATCCTTCAAAACACAGAGCACATCTGAAGAGGGCCTCGTCAGCAAAAGCCAACGATGCGGGGCTCTGACAAAGGAAAGGGCAGCAGTTTTAAATTTAGCTGCTTAAAAATAAGTCTTAAAAGAAAAAAATCTCACTTGACAGAGGCCGTCTATTTTAGGAAGCGAAGCGACAACAGACCGGTTTTGCTGTACACACGGGCATGACATAAGCCTGCAGGTGCGAGAGAGGGGAAGGCGGCCCACGGCCACCGGACTTACTGAGCACGGACATCCTGGCCCCAGGACCTGTGCACGGATGTCCTGAGGCTCCCCTAAATCTGTGCTGCGCTGGAGAAATGGTCCAGAGGGTGTGACAACTCATCTTCTCTCTTTTGAAATCAGAATCCACGCTGGCTACTTTAAGCTTGGCTTGAACTGGGGTCGGGAAGGAGGGGTCCACTATGGGTCATCTGGCCTTTAGGTACTCTTTTTTTTGTTTTGTTTTGTTTGAATTTCAGAAATGAAGGAGGATTACACGATGAAGACATATGATAAAGGAAAAGGATTAGAACTCTCCAATTTCTGAAAAAGGGACAGGCTCGTTAGGAGAGGATGGGATGTCAGAGGAAGACCAGAACCGTAGGCGTTTAGACAGAGTTGGATGGGCCGTTGGAGACTTGTCTTTGTCCTTGCTTTTGCTTCTCAAAAAGGGACTCTTTTTGCGCTGAGTTGCTAAATTGTTATTCCCCGGAATACCCAAGAGAGGAAGGGAAAAAAAAAAAAAAAAAGAAAAAGAACAAATAAATGAAATGAATAATAACAAATGACTCTAAATTAGCTAAATGTAGTCAGGAAATCAGAATCCTGTCCAACCCAGGAGAGACGGAAACAATACCCAGGACAAGCCCAGAACCAGGACTCGGTGAATCATTTATGCTCTGAGTCAATTTAATTAATTTTCCCGGCATCTCCGTGCCAGTGCTTCACTCTGCACGTGAGGAGAATGACAGACTGCTCAAGGAGCCAGCGGCTGAGGCGTTTTTCAATTTCAAGGTGTTAAATTATTAAATAAGGATGTTTGTTACTTTAGGACCCAGCTTCTCTTACTCATCAATTTTAATGACAGCCCCCTCCCCCCCCAACCCTCCATAGTGTGGCTCACATTCCTGTTCCTGTTCAAAGGCCTTGGAAAACTTCCCTAATGGTGTGTTTCTGGCCTGGCGTCATGAACAGCCTACCCTGAAGTATTCACCAATAACTCTGTAGATCTAAAATATCCTCTTTTGACAGTGTATGTTTAAAAACAATGAAAATACCACGTTTGGCACCAACCCTGCTGCCAAGATCCTTTTAGATCTCCCGCACTACCTCTACTCCAACCCCACACTTCATGGCCTTTAAAACAGAGTCCTGTCAGAGCAGACGCTCAAGTCTTACTTTCTGAACACGTAACATCGACACAGCTGATGTAACCCACTTCTCATTTAGGATTCAAGCCATAAGGGATCCTCGGGTTATTTCTTCCTCCACAGCACCACCTGGTGGCCGGTAAGGGACCTCAGCTTCCGCCGCATGTATGTTGAGCATCTTCTGGGACCAACACGGCTTTAACAGCTCACAGTGGTCAAGAACTCCAACCCTGCACCCTGACAGACGTGAATCCCAGCTCTACCAGTGATTACACTGGCAAGGATTTAATTTTGCCAAACCTCACTCTCTCAGCTCTGAGGAGGGATGATTAATCGTGCCCACCGGACGAGGTGGTTAGGACTCAATGAGACAGGTAAAGCATGTAAATTAGCTACGGGGATGCCGAGTCCAGAGGAAGCACCCCACGCATGGCTGCCGCTATGAATAATCGCCCCTGACCTGCCCATTCATGGATCAGCTCAACAGTCTGGACCAGCCAAGTACTTTTTTTCCTCCCAAAGTTTTGCTAGCTCATTAGACTGACGGTAGTTAACTCAGTCAATTTATAGAATAATACAAGTGGAGGGGATAAATGGCCAACATGAAAACCACAGGCAACAGGGCCCCTCTAGAAACCAAGGTTAGGCTTCCTTATCACTTGACTGCACATGAGCCTTTTACCTAATCTGATCTCCTGTAAAGAAGGGGAGGGCAAGCATTAGTCGCCAAGGTGTGTGCGTGTGCACGTTTTCTCCTCTGCATTCAAAAGTAACAAAACAGGACCTCGCATGGTGACTGCCCCCCCACAAAGGCTTGTGCATGTGCCACACCCACAGGGCAGCTTGTCACCGCCAGCCATCAGCACCTGGGGACACAAAGGTCTCAGGCTGGTCTTCAGATAGTCCTAGCGTCCTGCATGAAAGTTTAAGTTACTCAGGGTGCAGGCTTGGCAGGTTTATGGGTAAATTATCCACTAAGCACCATTTAAAAGTGATTTTGAAAACTTAACAATTTTTTATGGCCACCGCTGTGTTTGGCTCATTCTAAGACACACATTCCTTCCCATCTCTGAAATCAGGACACAGCTCCGATGGCGTCAGGAAGTCACGGCCGGCCAGGGGGTACCTCTGATAAAACGGTCACTGCCACTACCAAGTTACGTTGTTCCTGTTTTCCGTTCCCACCTGTGCAAGCCACCCAAGCCTTCGGAAGAGTTCTCCAACAAGCGTGTAACAAGCTTCCTGAGTGGTAGGGCACTGCCTCTTCTGACTGCCAGTGTTTTTGCTTCCCGGTGGTATATTAAATAATGAGGCAGCGTAGAGCTGAGAGCCTCTAAGATATGATGAAACACAACATACACAACTAGAAATCCATTTCAGAACCTCTGGCAAACTCCAAACGACAGGCCTTGAGTGAAAGGGTAAGCCGTGCCGCGTGGCCGCTAGGACTCAGGGACAGTCCTGAAGATCTCGCGTGCGTACAGAACGGGTTAAATGCACCTGGGATCTCCCTAAAGGAACAGCTCACTCTAAATCTTTGTCACATACAGCCCCACCACATACACCACCGAGCGTGTCCCTACAGCGCCTGTGTAAGTATCTGCTGTGGACAACAGACCCTATCGCAGCGAACGTGCCGAGCGATGGTGTTCATTCTAAAATGACAAAACTGTTACAGGGCAAAGCCGCTGACGTGGATGTGTATCTTTTACCTGGCTGCTAACATACACGAAGAGGCAGCTGCGTGTGCACGAGGCACCCTCTTCATGCCCCTCTGCACACGCGTGCACATCCACGCCCCATCTCTCGCCCCACCCCTCGAGGCACGGCCATTCGGAGCATCCCTTCCGGAGCCTGGCTGCAGCCCGGCCGGCCACTCGTACCTTTCCCCACAGGCCCGTTGAGGGCGTCCTGCTCCTCTGCACAGCTGGAGCCAGACGGGGCCGTCTCGGGACTGTCTGGCTGCGACCGGAGGGGCTGAGAGGCAGATGGCGGCGCCGGGTCTGAGGACTCCAGCTGCAAGGGAGGGCTGTCTGTGGTTGACTTCAATCGTTCTCTGGAACCCTCCTTCTTTGGTTTGATGAGTTTGACTAAGGCTTTGGCTCCAATCCAGTGGTTTTTCCTAGTTACGAGCAGATTGTTAGGAGGATGCAGCCGACCCGCCTTGCCCCCCCAGCAGGTCATGGGGTGGAGGGGACCCTGATGGGAGCTGGACTTTCCATCACAAGCCTGGAAGCCATTAATTTGGGACTCAGAGTGATGGTGCTCTTCGTCACCATAATCAGTGGATTTGGGGCTCAGGGGTGGAACTTAATTCTCAATTTGAGGCCCAGGGATGGCAGGAATGTGCACTGCAGCAGACATCCACACTAGTCTCTGGGGAATACAGAACGTCAAACATGGCCACTGACCCTTGATTATCCGTGCAAAACAAAGCGGTGCTGTGCTAACCTCATCTGTGTCCTCTGTTCTGTCAAAATGCTATTTTGGAACAGAATCACAGACTTCCTCATCTTCGGTTAAAGTTAACAGGGAGCGAGGTGAGCATTCTTCACCCGGTCTGTGGCACCAAGGAATGCGGGAGAGCGGGAGGCGGGTCGAGGAGGAAGCCGTTTCAATTAAAACCAGTGAATTTCAAAAGTAAATGACAGCGTTCAGCTGACTAGGAATGGGGGCCTCCTGACACAACAACAAAAACTGGCTCTGAAACTAGACAGCACCGTGTCTGCACAAACCCCTCGGTCTCCTCATCTGGGCCTCCATTTCTCTGACAGACAGAAGAGTGAGGCTGAGGTTCTGAAATTCTGTGGTTCACCAGAGAAGCCTTGAGGCTTCATGGCGATTCTGACTTTGAGGCTGGACCGGCACAGGACCCGAGGGCCGGCTCCTGCAGGGGGCGGGGAGGGTGGGACAATCCTGCTGCATGATGCTGGCCCTGCTGGGAGACAGAGCCAGCCCCACAGCCAGGAGGCTGCTGCTCCCTGGAAAGAGGAAGGTCTGTATTTGTGAGGCGCAGGGGTTCCCGTGTTCACCTGCAGGGGGTGCTATACCAGCTTCCTTCCCAGGAAACGGAAATGTCATTTGCATCGTCCTGTGAAATCCTGAGACAGAACCTGACACGGGAGCCCACGTGTCCCATTTTAACGGCTCCAAAAACCACAGACTGCCTGCCTCCTTGGAAGGGCCGTGGCTAAATTAAGCCCAAGTCTCCTCAGGGTCAGCTGGCATCCGCCGTCCTTCACAGGACAAGGCCGCGTGCAGAGGGCGGGGCTGAACGTCCACCTCCCTTCCGTCACGGAGCGGCCTGCACATGGGGCTCTGTGGAGCAGCGGCACAGGCCTTAGAAGACGGGAGTTTTCACCCCACTCACGAACACGGAAGCTCTCTGCTCTGGGTCTAAGTCACAGACACGTCAATCAACTCACTTCTTGGGAGCAGGGTCATAGAACTTGTACTGATCCATGATCTTCTCCTCCAGTTTTTCCTTATGTCTCCGTAAGGCATTTAATTTGTCTCTGTGAAGAGAGAGGGAAGGAAGGGAGGGGGGGGAAGGCTATCAATCCAGTTTTAATAAAATGTACTTACTTCATCAGCCCAGCCCGAGACCTTTTCTGGGATTCAGACTCCATAATGCTTGTGACTCTCATGATCATGAAGCTGGGAATGTGCGAATAGAAATGTCTGGCATGGGTCCAGGAAGCCCTGATACCGTGAGGAGGCTTGAGGTGCTAAATCACCTAGGGTCTGGGTGCGAGTCAACTCAAGGGAGCAAACTCCTAAACACCTGAAAACTTGCATATTTCTAGAAGCTCTAAGGACCTGGCAGGCAGGTCTTTCAGGACACTGGGCATTTGGGGGCGGACATAGCATGTGCACATTAAAAATACCTTTGGTGGTGGCAGGGGGTGGTGGGGCAGGGGAAGGTATGCCCTCAGCGAGTCAGTTTAGCAAAGTTAGACCTGTGACCTGGACTTATTCCAGTGCCGCTTTCTGAGAACATTCCACCAGGCCAAACTCAAAAGCTTTTGGGGCCAGACAGTGAAGATAAGGAGGAGCAAAGCAGGCCTGGAAGGTACAGGGGGAGCAGTGGGCACGGTGGCCCAGGCAGATGGCCGCCAGGCAGGGATGCAGGAGGCCTACAGGGCAGACCTGCCGAGTTTTCAGAGAAGCCAGAAACTTCGGTCATGAAGCAGCATGTCCTGATTTCTAAATACTGGAAACCAGTTCACGTTTTCAGAAACACAGAAAGGATCAAGACGCCTCTGGACCCTGGGGCTGCCAGAGGGCACCTCCGCGTCCCAGGAGAGTCTGGCCTTCCTGATATGAAGGGTGTGCTTCTGGCTGGCTTTATCTCAGGAGTCACGGGGGTGGTGCCCTCTACACGCACTGCCCGGCCTCTCTGTCATGGAGCTGCAGAGGCTCCACCCAAACCAAGGGCCTGGGACGTCACCGCACAATGAACGCCCCAAGAGTGACAGCTTCGTGAACCTCTGGCGCCCGCCGGGAAGCCCCACTCTGTACCCAGCCCCCTGGCTTGATGTCTGTGCCGTTCTTCTGTCCTCACTGGCATGCTGCTCGGCCTTGATCACTTCGGTGGCCATGGGGCCCCACAAACACACAGCAACGCCCCGCAAGCGGGCACTGCACCTCTGCCAGGGCCCAGAAGGGTGCTCGGCTCAGCGCAGGTGCTGGCTGAGACCCGGGCATTCCGCAGACACTCTCTAATGCAAAACCATGATCAAATCGTCCCCCTTGGGTACCAGGCTCTTATTCTTCTCGTTGGCACCTGCCCAACCCCCTGCTGGCAGCTTTTATCAGCTGGGTTACAGGCAGTCAAATCAGTCGGACCTGCCTTAAATTTACGGCATGGTTTTCAACGTAAACCATCCTCCAGTGGGTGGCGACCCACCGCTACGGGAGATGAAGACAGAAAGGTAAAGCAGCAGCACCTTACGCTGGAGAGCGGGGCCAGCGCGCCAGCATTCACCGTGACGGCGTCCTTTGGCCAGCCAGCTTCCTCTTGTGTTCCCCACGCTGGCCGGCCGTTCCCACTCACGAGGGAGGACAGCCCGCCCACCATGGCACAGAGTGGTGAAAATCACCCCAGATCCAGGAGATGGATCTTGGATTGCTCGACTTCTAAACCATGAGGTTTCCAGGACCGGGGCTCGCCCCCAGACTTCTGTTTCTGGCAGCTTCGTCGGCCCTTCTAGACAGGCATCCTTTTGGATGATGGCATCCTTCCTGGCAGATCCAAACTCCTGAGCTGTGCACGGAAGCCCTGCTCACTCAGCTGAGCGCCCACCTCCTTATGCTCTGTGCATGTTCCCCGCACACAGCCCACTGCTGGGCTGCACCTTTAGGTCCCCCACCTGCCTGCCTGCCCCTCATCCATGTCCACAAGAGAGCCCCATCTCCCACCGCCATGTTGCCTTCCATGTAGCTCAGTGGGTGCCCCGCACAGACGTGCTCCTCCCACAGCCCACCAGCCCTCCCAGTTCCTGGCCCCCAGGGAACCGGATCTGTGCACCCCACGGGGCCCGGGCCAGAGCGAGCACTTCCGCTACCACCAGCTGAGGGAGGATGACCACAGCACGGCAACAACCCACTTTCCAACAGTCCAGGCGCAAACAGACACGGGTGACAGAAAGACGCCAGTTATGGCACCTGTCCTCAGCCTTCCACTTGGATTCTTCCCGGAGATACTTCTCATGGGCATTGCCGTAGTTTTAAAAGTGACCTTAATTCCAAAAGCAGATTCTGAAGCTTCTGATGGTGGGCACTGCCTTTGAAAAGTGAACAAGAGCCAACCACCACCACTTACAGAAACCTAGAACCAGTCCAGGGAAGCCAAGAGGATGTGCGGGGAAGGTGGTCCGTCCCCTTGCTCTCTGGATGCCAACAGGCTCAGCGCCATTCTGTCCTCAGTGTCACAGGCCCTGGATGGGGCCAGGGAAGCCTGAACCCCCCCTTGTCTACAGGTGTCATCCCCACAGGCGCCCTTACATGTACTGCTTCTGCTCCTCGTGGTACTGCTCCTTACTCTCCATATTCTGCTCTAGAAGCATCTGGTTCTGCTGGCTCAGCAGCTGGATCTGGCTCAAGAGGTGATGATTTTCTTCCTCCAAGTTTCCCTTCAGACGGGAGAGCAGCTACAACACAGATCGACAGCGTTTCAGACACTACGTGATCCCGTGATTCCTTTGCTGGGAGTGTGGCTTCCAGGGGAAGGGCCACGTGCCCGGGGACGTGCGCCCCTCCTCTGCCAGCGAGAACCCGCAAGGACCAAAAGAGACAATGGCATGGGAAGAGCTGAACTCCCTCTGCACCCGCTCTGCCCACTGGCAGCCACGAGCAACATGTGGCCATTGAGCACTTACAACGCAGCTCATCTGAACTGAGGCGTGCCAAAGTACGTGACAGATTTTAAAGGCTTAGTAATAGTAAAGAACATAAAAGATCTTTTGGATACACATCGAAACGATAATATTTTAGATATGTTGGCCAAAACAAAATATATTATTACAATTAATCCCATCTGTTTTTACTTTTTTAATGTAGCCACTAGAAAACATTAACGTGTGCATGTGGCCTGTGCTGTTTGGCAGGCAGCTCTGCTCCTGAAGAAGGTCGGTATCTCTTTTCTGCAAAGGGCCTGGCACTAAGTATTTCAGGCTTTCCAGACTGGACGGGGCAGGGGCGGGGGGTGGCGCCTTTTGCAACACAGGAAATAGCCACAGGCAACAGGTAACTGGCCTGGGCATGGCCACGTTTCCATAAAACTGCTCACAGACACGGACACTTAAATTTCCTAGCATTTCTGGGGTGCCTGGGTGGCTCATTCGGTTAAGTGTCTGACGTCAGCTCAGGTCACGATCTCACCATTCATGGGGTCAAGCCCCACGTCGGGCTCTGCTGGACAGCTCAGAGCCTGGAGTCTGCTTCAGATTCTGTGTCTCCCTATCTGCCCCTCTCCCGCTTATACTCTGTCTCTTTCTCTCAAAAATAAACATTAAAAAAATTTATCTTTAAATTTCCTATCATTTCTACTTGACACAAACTATTCTTTTGATTTCTCCCAACCGCTACAACTGTAAAAGACAGTCTTAGTTCATAACTGTACACAAACAGGCAGTGGGCGGGATGTGACTCACGGGCCGAGGTCTGCCAACTACTTGTCATGGTTGATGGAGCGGGAAAATCCCAAGCTCTGGCTTCACACAGAGCTCCATTCCACCACTGTAGACCCTAGGCTGGGGTCTGCTAGAAATCCTAACGCACTGCCCTGTGACAGCGTAGCCCATGGTGGCTGAGGCTCCCTCTGGCTGAAGGTCTGGCCCGCACCTCTTCCACATGCCCCTTGCCCAGCCCAGGGGGCCTTGAGGCAGCTGGGCCTTGGTTTCCTCAGCTGTGATGGCCCACAGGGCTACCACGAGCTCAAAGGAAAAGGCCCCTGAGCGAGTTTCTGGACAAACGAGAGGCAAGAGGAGCAGTGTCCTGGGGCCGGTGCCGTCCTCGGGGCATCGTGAAGCTGGGGAGCTGCCCAATCCACTTTGCTGTGGTCTTGTCTGTCCTGGGGCCTGTTTATGATTTCATCGGAGACGGTTTTTGCCATCTCAGAATACAATTTCCAACCCAGTGCCCCCAAAGGGCTACCTCTGCCCCTCTGGAAACCCGGGCACTCCTGAGTAAGCTCTATACCAGCTGCCCCGGGGTATGGGATCCGGAGCCAGAGTCAGCCATTCACGCCATTTCTTGAGAAGAGCGTGGATACTGAATCGCAAAGATGAAAGTGTAGGCACAGCCAAGGGGATGGAAATAAGTCTGTGCTGTGCTGTCCCCACACGGTGAGAAGCCCAGGGCAGGCAGAAAGGTGTTTCTCACGCACCTCTGCCAATCATGGTGTCTGTCTCCCCTTTAAATGCCTCAGGAGCCCCGTGCCACCACCCACGTGGTCTTCGAATGCCGACGCCACGTCCCGAGGACTCACCTCGCAGCGGTTGTCCAGCTTGGTCAGCGAGATGTCCAAGTTCTGGTGCTGCTCCTTCAGCTCGTCAAACCGTGCCTGCCAGCGGTTTAGCTCCAGCTGTGAGCTGTTCAGGGAGGTTTTCAGCTCCTTGGTGTGGGCGTGCAGCTCCTCGTACTCCCCCTTCAGCTGGTGGTGCAGGAAATTGACCCTGGGGGCAGAGAGCCACAGGCCAAGAGCTGAAGAGCCATCCCTGCTGTGCAACCTTACCCAAGAGGGTAGCCTCTCTGGGCCTCGGTTCTTTTACGTGTGAAATGAGGGAGTTGAACAAAATCGACAGTGCTCAAACTGGGTTCTCTGGGGTTCTGTGAGGGTCCCCCCAGGGCCCCCACACTGGGCTGGGGGGGACAGAGCGGGCAGGCTCAGACACCTGCTTTGACAGAGCATTCCTGCTATGTCTTTTATCCTTAAAGCTTTGGCTTCTCTGCATACGTACTTGGAAAAAAGGGTTCAGTTGCTAGCATCTTTTTTTTTTTTTTTTTTTTTAGAACCAGAACATTTTTGTTCCAAAATCCTGTGTCTATGTCTGGCTCTTCTTCCCAATTTCTAGCTCCTTTCTAATTTCAACTCCTGACATAAAAAAAAATAGGAGATGCCAGGATCTTATGGAAATCCACTAAAATTATAATCATCATATCTATTATCTGACTGGGGTTTCTCGGGGGAAGATTTGGATCAGAAAGTTCCAGTCACTGGAGAGGCACGGATTTCGTTTGGACACAGACAGATGTGTCTTGTTTGCCCCACATGCTTCTTTTGAATGGATCAGCGTGCCAATATATAAAAACCTGAAAGCCACACACCAATACTCTCATGTCCAGTTTCTCTTAAGCAAAAAGCATAAAATGGAAAGACGGCCTGACAGCGGTGAGCCTGCCGCCCGGCTGACAAGCTTCAGCTGGTGTGTGCTCCCTACATCACTGTCCGCCCACCGCCGACACTCCCTCACCCACGGGCCTGGTCTCCTCGGCCACGAGAGGTACCCGTGTATGTGGCCCCAGTGCACATTTACGCAAGGACGTGGAGGGGAAGTGGCTTTATGTGGTCACTGCTGTAAACCCGGATTCAAACCCTGACTCTGAACAAATGTGTTCACCTTTGAGCCTGTTTCTCAACTATCAAAAAAGGCGGGGGTGGAGCGGGGAACAATACTAGTACAGCTGATTCTCATTATTTGAGGTAGTGACGCGCTACAAGGTCCCCAAGCCCACTGACAATGAACCGCTGCTCTTTGGGAAAAGGCACGGTATAGGTTCCTGTGTGCTCTGGTTACATTTTAGTCACCTGGTCAAGACATTCCTTATTTATTTTTAATGTTTACTTTTGAGAGACAGACAGGATGTGAACAGGAGAGGCACAGAGAGGGAGACACAGAATTTGAAGGAGGCTCCAGGCTCTCAGCTGTCAGTACAGAGCCCGACGCGGGGTTCAAACCCACAAACTATGAGATCATGACCTAAGCCGAAGTCGGACACCTAACCAATTGAGCCCCCCAGGCATCCCCTTATTTTATAGTTTAAACACACCTCTTACAATACACTCACGGCCATAGCACTGTGGGTCCTACCTGAACAGAGCTTCTGTAACATCTACTTTACCCTTAAGGCCATCACAGCCTTGCACATAGAGCACAGGACAACACTTCAGCACTGCACTTGGTGAGAATTTTAAAGAGTAAAGTTGCCATGAAAGAGGATAAAAATACGAAAACCCCATAGGTCACAGGAAGGATGCTTATTCGCAGTACGAGAACTCAAATAGGAAGGCAGAGTGCCCTTGCAGGACCTTGGCCTGAAATGTGTGCATCTGGTGACTCAGGTACCATGTCACCCCAGGCACGTGCATCAAAGCACCATGTGCATCAATTTGGGGGGGACACATACATTTTAGGAAGGAGGTGAATTCACAACAGGGAATGTGTGAATACTAAGGATCAACAGTGTGTCCTTCATGAAATCGCCGCGCAGCCTATATCAGATGAGGGTCTGTGCCCAATGAAATGTGTCTCTCGTCCTTCCATCCCAGCAACCAGCTAGAGGCCTCGCTCAACTGTGCCACCCAGCTGTGAACAGGACAGGGTTTATAAAAATACAGGAGTGCAGGGCGCCCACGTGGCTCAGTTAGCTGAGCATCTGATTTTGGCTCAGGTCATGATCTCGTGGTTCGTGAGTTCAAGCCCCTGCGTTGGGCTTTGTGCTGACAGCTCGGAGCCTGGAGCCTGCTTGAGATTCTGGATCTCCCCTTCTCTATGCCCCTCCTGCACTCGTGCATGCACACCCATGCTTTCTCTCTCTCTCTCTCTCTCAAAAACTAAATAAAAAATTTTTTAAATAAAAACATAAAAATACAGGACTGCCAGGAGCCCCCCGGTGACCTCCTCTCGGCGGGCTGAGCGGGTCTGCGTGAAATCCTGGACGGCAGCTGCCCCGCACGGAGCTCACCTGTCCAGCTCTCCCCGCAGCCGCTGGTTCTCGTCCACAGCCATGGCGCCCGTCCTCTGTTCCTGCTGCAGAGCCTCCCTCTCGGTGTGCAGAACCTTCTCCAGCTCGTCCAGCTCCGCCTGACGCTTCAGCATGTCATCGTGCCTGGTGGAGGGGAACACACTCGCTGGGACCTGGGTGGGGGCCTTCTTCCCCTCCAGGTGCCTAACTCCCCAGAGGACTGCGACGCCGCCCACAGAAGGCAGGGCTCCTCTGCAGGCCTCTCTCTGCACAGGCCTCTCTCTGGAGGGGGACAGGGCAGGGAGCAGGCAGGGCGAGACGCAGGGCAGCAGAAAAGTGGGAGACCGGTGGCCGGGAGAGGCGTCGGGGCCAGGGGCGTCCTCCAGCCCCACAAGTCTCCTCGGTCCCTCAGACTCCCCGTCAAGGCAGCCGTTCCTCCTCTGGCCGCCTGGGGAACACCAGAGCTAGGTTTCCTGTGCCCTGAGCCCTTCCCTTCGGGAGTTATGGCTACGTTACTAGGTGGTTCACTAAGCACAAACACATCTAAAAGAAACCACAAAATAAACAGCTGAATTCCACCACACATAACATAACAGTTAAACCCTCTTCACTGGGGCCTGGGCAAGCCCTCTGCCCTTCTCTCCTCGTTCTTAGCCTGGTCTTGTTGCCAGGCCAGAGGCTTGCCTCGTGGAGCCTAACGGCTGCCAGTGCCCACCTCTCTCTCTCTCTCTCTCTCTCACACACACACACACACACACACACACAGAGCCTTTTCTCAGGATCCCCAGCCCTCCCTCTCCCCCACCACTTGGACTTTTCTCTCCTTCTCCAGCCTCAGTCTCTGTGGGTTACTGCGCGGCCGTCTCTGGGAGGCAGCAGCAGAGCACAGGACGGACCCCTTCACAGCCCAGGCTGTTCCTCCTACTTGCTGGAAACGTCTCTGTTCACAGATGACTCAGGGTCTCCCCAAAATCCATGGAACGACAGAGGCACTGAAGAGCCTAAGTAACATCGTTTTGAGATTAAGGCCTCCATTAAGAGCAACCTCGGGCTGCACGTAGCCCCAACTCCTCAGATCGCTCAAGGCTAAAGCCATCCTCGGACCGCCCTCAGATCAGCTAATCAAAAAACATTCCTGTGGTCTGAGTCAAGGCTGGGAACTGTAGACCGTTATTCTGTACAAACTAGCCAATTTCTCACCACTTGCCTGAACCCCACGTGGGCCCTCTGAACTCACCTCATTATTGGTCATTTTCAAAGGATTCTCAAATGTCATGATTGGGTCCCGCCAAAAGTAATGGACACCTCACAGATACTGAATGGTCAAAGCTGTTACCATGGGTGTTGTAACTGGTGCTTATGTGATGATGCTATACGTACAACGTGTGCACTGTAACACCCCCGTCCCTTACCCCATAAAAACCGTTTGCTATTGTTCCGGGCTTCACCTTCTTGCCACAACACCGGTAGGCAGGTGAGCCCCTGCTCGAGCTTGTAATAAAGACCCTTTTGTACTTGCATCGGTGTCAGCTCCTCGGGGGTGTCAGGGGACTCGCGAATCAGGCACAACAGCACCACCTTTCAATCGTCCCCATTCGGGCAAATCCGTCCTCTGCAGACCTCATTCCTGGTCACCGACAGCGTGACAGGTGGCCCGCAGTCTCCACAGCTCCACTCCTGTGCCCCAGACCCCACAGCAGCTCCACCGGCCCCACCTGACTGGAGCCAGGACTTGTCGGGAAATCAGACTCGGAAGCCCACTCAGGTGGCTGTTCAATGACAAACCTGCATGTGGCCGTCTGCCGCACTGTGGAGAAGCTGAGGCTGGGAGCAGAGGCTCCGTCTGGCTTCTCAGGTGGTGACGTTTCTCGTCCAGACTAACAATTCTGAAGAAAGCCACCCAGGTTGGACAAAGTGGGGCCACAGGTAGATGACCAGGGCTCCCCGAATCCTGCTTCCCCGCGGTCGGGTCTTGGACAAGCCCACGGGTAAGCACCCAACTGCAGGACAGAGGCCGTGTGTCCTGCTCACCTTGAACATGGGTACGAGGCACGGCACCCAGGAAGTATTTATTAAAGGAACGAAGAAACAAGCATCCAATTTAAAAAGTGCCGTCATCCCCGTGCCCCAGGTACCTACACTCCCAAAGCCACAGCCCCACTGCAGACAGACCCGGGGCCTCCAGCCCTCTGTCCAGCCAGTGACAATTCAAGTAATACAGTAGTTCCGCCGGCTCTATTGACGGGGAGCCAGAGGGGAAACAACAGTGAACTCCCTCAAGGCCAGTCCAAACTCCACCTGCAAAATCCATCGCCCTCTAAACAGACACAAAGAACACAGAGACACGATCAGAACGCAGAACAGGACGTTAATGACAAGATGCACAGCACCCGGTGAGCACGGTTCCGAGCTCTGTAAACACTTCTTGCTCCATTTCGCTAGCCGACCGGGGGCATCGCTAGCAGGTCCAGACACAGCATGGGGCACACAGGACACGTTCACCGGGCGCCGTGCAACCCTAGGAGGGGCTCGGGAGGGGAGGGGAGGGGAGGGCAGGTGCCCAGAGGCACAAGACGCTAATTGGGGCTGGAGGGCAGCGTCTCACTAGGGGCAGGGGCCGCAGCAGCCCCTGACGTAGGAGCTGTGGGCAGAGGAGCCCAGAGGCGAAACGGAAGCAATGGGCGAGCAAATAACTAACTGAATGTCATCACCTCTGGGCCCTCGGCATCCTCAGAAGCCCTCACAACACTGCAGCTCAACGACCAAGACCAGTCAAAGGAGACGCTGCCAGCAAGGACATGGGACAAGCACGGGAAGCGGGTAATCGACTGCTCCCTCCTATGCAGCTCTGTGGGCTCGAGCGCCCGCCGCTCTGTAGAAACACAGCTGTCTCCTGGGTCAGGGTCAGGTGCACGGCACCCCTCCCACCAGACTCCGGGTCCTGTCTAACCCACCCAGGGGCCAGGAGCGCTCAGGGATCTGCTGGGGGGAGGAGCTCGGACAACGCTAGCTGAGTGTATGCGAAACCCAGCACGCTCCGTTGTGAGGGGTGCCAAGTTAAGATCCGTAAGTTTCAATGCTTGTAAATTTTAGATTAAAAAAGGAAAGGAGGACAGGCAGGGGGAGAGAGAGGTATGGCTGAGGAGCAGACGGGGGTTTCACTATGCTGTTCTGTTTGCTTTCTATATATTCACAAGCTGCCAGAATCGAAGGCTGGAAAGAGCATCCCAGGGAATGCTGGGAAAACGAGGCTGGGGAAGCCCGAGGGAGCAAGCGTGTCACTTTAAAATGGCAGCGGTGGTGAACGGTTGGGAGAGGAAGGGAGAGGCGGTGCGAATCCTCAGGGAAGCAGGGACCCCAAGGCTGGGTCTCCCGGAGCCGGGACTGGGCACGGCACCCCCTTCTCACTCGGGGACCCCCCCCGTCACTCGGCCTCCAGCTGCATACACTCGTCCAACCCCCGGGTGCGACTTTCGATGGACTTCCCTCTGGGAAAGCCGGGGTGTCCGAGGAAACGCGGGAAGGCTCAGGCGCGGCGCAGGGACGCGAGCCCGGGGAGGGGGCGCCCCGAGGCCCGCACGCACCTGTCCCGGAGCTCCTTGTGCTCCAGCTCCAGGTTCCGATGCAGCGTCTTCAGGCAGCTGTGCTGGCGGATGAGGGCCTCGTACTCGGTGGACTGGCGCTCGTGGAGCGCCGCCAGGTGCTGGTGGTCCTGCAGCAGCGCCTCGTAGGCCGCCGTCAGCCGCTCCTGCTGCTTCTGCAGGTTCTCGTTCTCGCTCTCCTTGGCCGTCTGCTGGTTCTGGAGCAGCGCGTACTGCGCGGTGAGCGCGGCGCTCTGCGAGCTCAGGGTGGAATTCTCCACCTGCCGGGAGGGAGAAGCTTCCGGCTCACCGCGGGCAGGGCCCCGGGGAGCCACACGCCCCGTGTCCCCGCTGGCAGGGACCGCGCCAAGAGCCGGAGGCTGTCACCCAGACAACAGGGACCCTCGGGACAGCCCACACCCGGCCGCTGAGGGCAGTTCCATCTGAACTCGAGAGACGGCTCTGGGAAGAGGCATCACCAGACTGTCAGGGGGCTCTCGTCCTGCGCCCTCCCCACATGGGACCTTTCGGGGCCAATTATGTCCTTCCTGTGGATAAGCTTGTTGGGCACCCGCTTGGGCTACTTTCACACACCTATTCCCTAGAACAAGTAGAAAACCAGTAACGGTGTAGACTTCCTGACGACCACCACCCGACAACATCCCAGACCATCAGAAAACTGAGGAGGGAGCACTGCCTGACTCCTTCCGGGGCCAGCAAAACCGACGTCCAACCCAGATGAAGACCACCACCACCACCACCAAAACCATCAGCCAATAACCAATATCCTATTTTGTTATTTTAAGAGAACAAATTCCAACGTCTTTGCCTAACGGTTTCCTGTTTACTGTCCTGAGCCATGTTCTGTATTTTCAAACACTTTTCTCAGAAACGGCATTAACGAACGATTAATTCATTTCCTCGCAACGTATTAACCGTAAATAAAAACCAATATCCTCAAATACGTGGCAAGGAGCACCAGTTTCGCTAGAAGCTCTCAAAAGCCTGGTGGCCACTCTACACGTCCCTCATGGAGATTACAAATTCACATTAGCTTAACAAAGGCTCTGCCAGGTTTCATAGTAAGTAAACCCGGTTAACTCCTACGAACTTGACTTAACTGAGCCTGGAACCTCTTTTCCAAGTCATTCCCAGTAAATGCTTAAGGAAGAGACTTTAATAGGCAAATCTGCAAGTCTAAGCAGAGCAAGTTTTCAGTCCTGAAGCCACATACTCAGTCACTGGAAACTACTACAAACCCGCATCACCTTCAAAGACCCCGAAGCTGGATGCCGCCGTTTGCAATGCGCCAGCGCAAAGTAAAAGTGAGCCCGCTCTCGCACGCTCGGAGGAGCCCGTGTGGCGAGGCAGGCCTCGCGGTGCGGGCTGTGGCTGCGCCCTCACTCACCTGCAGCGTGGCCGTCTGGGTCTGCAGCGTGGTGTTGTGCTCCTGCAGGAAGGCGCTCTGCTTCTGCAGCGTCAGGATCTGACTGCTGAAGGCCACGTTCTGGGTCTCTAGGTGCTGCAGCTGTTCCTTGAGCAGCTGCTTCTCGGCCTGCAGAGCCGCGTTCTAGGGGACAGGGAAGCACGGGGCCGTCAGACACCAGCTCGGGAGATGCTAACCGGCCACAGGCACTGGGCTTGAAGGAACGTTCGAGACCTGATGCTTTGGGGACTAAAGCCAGAACCCGCCAGGTGAGAGAAGTAACGTTTCCCTCTTGGAAAAGACAATCAACAGAATTGGGGGGTGAGGGGAGAGGGCTACTTTTTACGGTATGTGCTTTCCAGACAGAAACGCATTTGCGTCATGGCAACGGGGCTTCAGACCTGAGCATCTGCGTGCAAGGCAAGCTGGGGTTACAGCTGTGCTATCTTCTCTCTGTAACGCGTCTCTCTGTTTTCGTTGAACACCCCGCATTTCTGTGAGCTTCTCCCACAGGACAGGGAGTCAAAGCCTGTGGCCACACCTCACCCTACTAGGGAGTGACAGCAGGCAGGATAAGGCGGTTTGTGTCCCAGGAGGCTGAGAAAGGCCAAGTAAGATATGCCATCAACTGGGCCAGGACACACGGGTTATCTATCTCTTACTAGAACAGGGCACAGGGTTGAATCTCAAACTCTGTCTCCACTTTCTCACTTGTCAAATGATAAAGATCCTCACTACCTACTTCACCAGGTTGTTGGGAGAGTCCGACAACATCGGGCATTAGACATGCATCAGAAACTTCTGTAAAGGGACGGACAGAATTCTGCAGTTTGCCAGGCATGTGGTCTCCACTGCAACCACTCACCTCTGCCACGATGGTGGGAAGACAGCCACACAACACATAAACAAAGTGCATGTCTGTGGGCTGGCAGGCCACGGTCTGTCAACCCCTGGGGGAGCACTGTGGAAACGGGGCTGGTGAACAAGCTACAGGCCAAGCCTGGTGGGCAGGCAGACAGGAATTCGCCGTGGGAAAATGCAAACGCGCGCCTTTCCACTAGAAAGTCTGACGAGATCACAAATGACAAGGAGCTCACAGGACTTGCCAGGATGACTCAAGAAGTATTCAGCCAGATCTGGGTGAATCTCAACAGATTCTGACATCTCGTGCCCTTTACGGTAACGCCGGCCTGTCACCGGGACAATCAACAGGGTCCCCTGGGCGGCTCGCGCTCTCTTGAGCGACTATAGCAGGGCAGCCCACTCACGTTGCGTTCCAGCTCGATGGCCCGGTCCTTCACTCGGAGCAGCTCCATGGTGGCTTCCTTGTGGCCGGGCCCCCAGGGCTCCTGTCCCTGGTGACCGGTGACCAGAGGGTCCACAGGGTGTCTGAAAGAGTTCTCCAAGTGCTTCCCTTCCTGCTGGTTCTGCCTGAGAATCTCACACTCGGTCTTCAGCTGCAGGGTGCGAGCAGGGAAAGCAGACTTGGGGCAGGAAGAGGCTGGCTCAGAGCTCCGAGTTCATGGCTGGAAGGATGGCCCCACAGCAAACCCAACCCCTCACCTGGCTCCAGGGATAAGCCAGACACCCTCCTTCTGCTCTGCGGGGAATGCACACAACCCACCCTGGACTCCCCCTCCTTCCAGACATATCTGCCTCCGTCTCAACTTCAACCACATGACCTTGGCAAGTCTTCTCGCTTCCCTGAGCCTCAGCTGTCCACTCCATAAAATGGGGGTGAGCCTGGGGAATACGGACCGGGTGATGTTACAAAGCCCCTTCCAGCTCTAGATTCCTTGCTCAATCATGCAGCCAAGAAACGTGTGAAGGTTTCAGAAAGGAGAGGTGAAGGGCACCTGGGTGGCTCAGCCGGTTAGGCGCCCAACTTCAGCTGAGGTCATGAGCTTCACTGTTCTGGAGCTTGAGCTCCCCATCGGGCTCGCTGCCGTCAGTGCAGAGCCCACTTTGGATCCTGTCTCCCTTTCTCTATGCCCCTCCCCTGCTCATGCTCTCTCACAAAAATAAATCCATTGCTTAAAAAAAGAGAAGGAGAGCTAGAAGAACACATGTGCACTGGGAGGCGGACATCCTGATGAGGGTCCTATGCCCCCACGCCCACCCATCCCACGCAAGGGTGCCCATGAGACTCGCGGTCTCTGCCTGGTCCCGATGTTCACGAGCTCACGTCAGCTTTCCTCAGTGTCCCAGATCTCGCCGAGCAGACTCCGTGCTGCTCTGAATGTGGCCTCCTCTCCTCCCCGGCCTCTGATTCTGTCCAGCCCTGATACAGGATTGGAAGGCAGCCCCCGCTCAGAACCCCGCATCTCAGCACATCTGCTCCAGGGAAATGGGCATCCGGGCCAGCCCTCTGCTGCCCCCAGGTGAGGGGCTGGAAAAGGGGGGGGCCGGATCTTACCACCTGGAGCTCATTCTGCAACTGGTGGTTCAGGCTGGCTTTCTCTTCCATCTGAGCTTCTAAGAACACAATCTTTTCTTCTTTCATGGCCAATGTCGTTTTTAACGCTGAGTCATTTCTGTCCTCCAAAATGTTGAGCTTTCTGAAAAATACAAATATACAATTGTACTTATCTGCTTCTTCTACCACAAGCTCCCTGTCTCCCAGCTACCAACACCTGTCTCCTCCACTAAGCGCATTTCCTCTGTTATTCTGCAACAGAACTGTAGGAGCCAAAATCCATCACCCAGAGCCCTCTCGGGGCTCCCCGCAGAAACACACCTGTGACCCCCCTCCAATGAACTGTCACTGCTGCAGTCTTACAGGCATAGTCTCAAAGGGAGGTCTTATCACGGCCATTTTACAGATGGGGAAACTCAGTCTCAGAAAGGTTAACTAAGCATGGGGCCCCCTGGTGGCTCAGTTGGTTAAGCAGCTTGACTCTTGACTTTGGGTCAGGTCACGTTCATGAGACTGAGCCCGGCATGGGCTTAGGATTCTCTCTCTGTCCCCTGACCCCCACTCATTCTCTCAAAAATAAACATAAAAAAAAAAAAAAACAAACAAGATTAGGCCATTTGCCCAAGATTACAATGCTAGCTAGGTAAGTGGTAGCCTTTTCATCACACCAAGTCAGTGGGTCACACATCATCCATGCTGTGAATCTCGACAGTTACAAGTTCAGCAAAAGTCCATGGTACTGGATTTCCCTGAACAACGAGATCGTTTTTGGAAAGAACTGCAGGCAAAGACTGCAACAGTGAAGTGTTTAAAGATTTAAGGGCTGGGAGGGGGAAAAGAGGAATGAAGGAGTGGAATACAGGATGTGCAGGCAGAGACGCCATTCTGTGGGACACTCCGACGGCAGAGAACAGGTTATTACACAAGGGTCAAAACCCACGGAGTGTCCACCACCCAGAGCGACTCCAATGTACCTTGGGGACTTCGGGTGATGATGGGTCCTCGAGTGCACCACGCTGGTGGGGGATACGGATGACAGGGAGGCTCTGCCTTTTGGGGGAGGGGCAGTGGCACAGAGCATTAACTCTCCGTACCTTCCCCCTAACTTAGCTTTGAGCCTAAAGCTGCTCTAAAAAGTCTCTTAAAAAAAATTAAGGCGGCTTTCCCCTGGATGAGAGTCTCCTTTCACCCCTGCCTGCGAACCTCCAGGGAGACCCTCTGTAAAGGACGCCAGCCCCTCACACAGACTCCAGGACAGCAAGCCCCGAGGCGAGCAGAGTGAACCTAGCGCTAGAGCTGGGGGTGTGCCGTGGGGCCCCGGGGAAGGGCAGGGAGGTCCTCACGTGTCGCCGTGGCTGTTCTCATCCTGCAGCAGCAGCTCCTTGTGGAGGCCGACCTTCTCCAGCCCCTGGCTCAGCCTGTCCAGCTCACTCGTCAGCTGCTGGCTCCTGAGCTTCTCCAGCACCAGGTCCTGGCAAGACAGGGAGAAGGTGCGCGTGGGGCGGGAGCCCAGCAGGGAGGGCCCGGCGCAGGCCCGAGCAGCCGACTTCCCGAGTCGTGGCTGACTCAGGTGTCCGAAGGCTGAGCAGACGGTTCAAAGGGACAGCCGAACCCCAGGGGGGGTCTTCCAAAGGGAAGGGGCGACGCGCTTTCCCAGCCTCCCAGCACCGAAGGGGACCAGACTCCGTGGCGATACAGGAAGGACGTGCGTTTCTGAAACGCCATTTATGTGGACCTTTGAGTAAGGGCTTTGAACTCTAACACGATTACCTTTTCTGGGGAGTAATGGAATTAAATGCTCCTTGCAGAGAATGTGGAACAGAAAAGGGGACAAAAGAGATAAAGACTTGACTTTAAACTCTGGCTGTGGTTTCCTCTGCAAAAGCAGTTTGCTCTGGTTTAGGTGGTTCACTGGGTGTGCGTAGGCCCACCCTACTCCCGCCACCTTCGCAGCTCTCCAGAAAGTACTGCTCTCTGCCCAGTGCCACAGCTACTTGGCACGCAAGCTGGCCACCACCAAATCCTCAGGCCTTGGACGGCAGTGTAACAGAGTGGTGCTCGCCAAATGCCCCATCAGCTCATCGTAAACATCCCAGGCACCCGGCAGTGGGGCGAAGCCAGGCGGGCAGCTCCGGCCAGCGAGCCGTGGGGGGACGTGCTGTGGGTGGGTGACCTCCCAGCTGCCTTTCTCCTGCCTTGGCAACCACCTAAGTCTGGTGCTGAGAAGGCGGAGCCATAAATCAAAGCGGCCTGGACTGCTGAGTCACAGCACAGATGACAGGTCCTGGGGAGTCACCTAGACTCTTGTGAGTGACAAGTCAGCCCCCGGAGTGCTGAGCCGCTGCGACTCTGGGACTGCGGCATAACCTGCCTTCTGCTTCCAGAGACAGGGACTAGGGGTCGTATTAGTGCTTTCTCTCCCCCGTCGCTTCATGATCTTCCTGCACATGGACATGGAGACTTCCTGGTGTTCACCAAATCGATTTCCTTTCCGCCCCCGGCACACGCAGACCACTGAAACACGTTTCCCTGCCTCACCTGCAGCGGGGTGCGGCTGTGTGACGGCGCTCTGCATGGTGGAGTGTGGAGTGCGGTCTAACTCCTCCCTCTCTTCCTTATCTACCTGCCATGGGCAGGGGAGCCAGAAGACTCCACCGTGGGGAGGCCGAGCCACAGGATGGGAGTGACTGCATTTAAGGCTGCCCATGAACAGTCACACTCAACTCCTACCTGCGTGAGACTCAACTCCTGTGTCAGGCCACTCGGATGTTCGGATGTTTAGGTCATTTACTAAAGCAGTTTGTCCCCCCCCACCGCAAACACCGAAGGAACGCCCAGAGGGCCCGTGCAATGAATAAATACCAAGGAAACTGGAAGACGTATACTTAGCAAGAAACATTAAAACGTTCATACCCTCAGAACCCCTACTTTCGCTTCTAGGAGTATAGTCTGAGAAAACGGATATATGTACGCAAGGGTGTCCGGTGGTATCTAAAATCATGGAGAGAATCAGAAAGCCACCTAAAATGTCCAAAAAATAATTGCAGTAAATCTACAGCATTAAAACCTCATAGCCATCAGAAATCCACGGCTTCAATCTCACTCACTGTGATGAGAAAAGAAGGCAGAGTAAGTACACATCAGAAGAGCTTAGGACGCGGGGACGCAGGATGTCAGGTGTGTGTCTGTGCACAGGCACACGGGGGCACGACAGGAAAGAATCCGCCAGACTGGGAGCAGCGGTCCCCTCTGGGCAGGGAGCCCGGGACAGGCGCTTTCCCTTTGTTCTCCGCACCTGCAGACATCATTCCGTGCAGAATCGGGGGGCGGGGGACACACAGCCTCACGCCTGGTCTGCCCGGGAGGAGGCGCGCGCCCCCGCCCCCCTCACCACGGGGGAGGGGCCCGCCGGCGCCTGCTCACCTCTCTCAGGGTGGTCAGCGTCCTCGTATGCATGGTGACCTGCTTGGTGAGGTCTCTGTTGTCCCGCTCCAGCTCCTTCAGCTTGCTGGCCGCGTCCCTGCAGCGGGCCAGCTCCCTGTCCAGCGCGCGGCTCTCCCTCTCGGCGGCGGACAGCTTGGCGGTGCTGTCGTCTAAGACCGCCTCCTTGAGCTCGACCTGCTGCCACAGCCGCTTTGCCTCCTTCTCCAGCAGCTTCTTGTCCTTCTCCAGCTGGGCCACCTCCTGCTCCAGCGCCGTCCGGTCCTTCTCGGCCCTCTCCAGCTGCTTGTGCGAGCGCCGCAGGGCCTCCAGGTCGCGCTGCAGCACCTGGTTCTCGGCCTCCAGCTGGCCGAGCTCCTGCTCCAGGGCCTGGCACTTCTGGCTGCTGCTGTCCAGCGTCTGCTGCAGCCGCAGGTTCTCGGCGCTCACGCCCTGGTAGCTGAGCTCCAGGCGCTCAGACTTCTTGCTCAGGGCCTTGAGCAGCTCCACGTTCTTCCTCAGCTCGTCCTTCTCGCGCTCGAGCTCCCGGTTCTCCCTCTCGATCTGGGCCATCTTGGCGCTGGTGAAGCGCATGGCCTCCACCATCCTGCGCAGCTCCAGGTTCTCCTCGTCCAGCTGCCTGTTGTCCCGCTCCAGGCCCTCGAGCTGCAGCGACACGTTCTGCAGGGTGTCCAGCGACTTCCTGAGCTTCCGGTTCTCCAGCGCCAGGCCGCGGCTCTCGCGCTCCAGGGCGTCGACCTTCTCGGTGGCGGTGTTCAGGGAGGCCACCTTCTTGGCCAGCTTCTCGTTGTCCTTCTCCAGCCGGCGCAGCTCCCTCTCCAGCTCCTCCACCCGCTCCACCTTCTCCTTCACTTGCTCAAAGTCCTTGTGCAGCTGCTGCTTCTCGGATTCCAGCCTGCTGAGCCTGCTGCTCGTCTCCGCCACCGTCTGGTGGAGGGCTTTGTTCTCCTTCTCGACGTCCTTCACCCGGGCCTCGCTGCTCACCTGCGACCTCTCCCGGAGCGACCACATCGCCTGGGTAAGGTGATCCTTTTCTTGCTCCAGATCCTTGATCTGCGGAGAAACACAACGTGAACAACACAGAAAGTGGCTGTTGAAGGGGCAGATTTCAGTGATCTGGGTCCAAACTAGGAGAATAAATTGTAGGCCCCTGAAAGACCACCCAGAGCCGTCCCACGGTTTCCCAGGCCAAGGTCAAAGGCAGTCATTACTTAGTTCAAGCCCAAACACATCCACAGCAGCCACAGCGATTCAGAAACGTAAACCATATCTCTCCCTCTTACCTCCAAGGAACGAAAGGGATTTTTCTGGTACTCTTCATCCTGGGCAGCAGGAAGCCCATGACCTGCTGCCGCCCACCCGTGGCCTCCTTGTATGCCACTCTCCCCGCTGCACGTGATGTTCCCTCTGCCTTCAACACTCCCCATCCCCCAGCCACTGACATAGAGCATCTCTGGCCCTTGCTCAGCCTTCAGGCTCAGGGAGAGGGTCAGCTCCGTGACTCGAACATGCTTGGCACCCAGCCAGTTGCTCTGTCTGGGCATCATGACCTTTTCCCTGCCCAGACCTTGGGGATGTGCCACATCTAGGCCTGGCGGAGCAGGGAGAGAAAGCCTGGCTCCCGGCTGGCATCACCAAGCCACCGCACCAGCACTGGGCTGCCCACCCTGGGCTTCTTGTAGCGTGAGCCCCATAAAGGCCAAGGTGTGCCGGGGCCCTCTGCCAGGACACTACAGACATCTACAGCGGGCTCCGTTCTTTGTCCTGCGGGGCTGTCCCGTGCACTGCAGGACACGTGGCAGCATTTCTGGTCTCCGCCCCCAGGCCACGGGCATCTTCACCCTCCTCCTCCAAATCAAGACAATCAAAACCAGGACTGCCGAGGTCACCTGGGAGGCAAGAGCGGACCCCTGTTCGGGCACAGTCAGCTAAGAACGGCTGGTCTGAGGTGCAGCCGAGCTGGGTAAGCGGCGGTGCACAGATCTCTCGTCAACTGCAGGAAGTGGCTATGATCCCGGACTCTCCCTCCTGCAGGGAAAGCTCCCCAGACAGGCGAGGAGGAGCATTCCCCCCGGAGGCACCGACCTGCCTGGCTCGGGCTGCCTTCAGGGACTCCATGTCACTCTGCAGCTGCTCCTTCTCTTTGATCAGCTCCTCACTGAGGGTCTCCAAATCCTGGTTGCTCTGCTTCTCTCTCTCCAGCTGGGTATGTAGCTTTTCAATCTGTAGAGCCAGAAGAAGACCGAGCCAGTGCAAAAGTCACTTGCACGAAGCAAACGTTTTCAGACAAACCCAAACCCTGCCAGCCTCACAGGACACAGGGCCTCCTCTCAAGGGACAACGTCCAGGTGCCGTTCCGTAGCAACCTCAGCTCTCAGCTCACACCCTGCACTTTCGGCACAGGGAGGAGAGGAGGGGCCTGGGCATCCACCAGCCGGGCAGCCTCCCTCCCGCCCCACCCCTGCGTCATCTTCACGGCCATGCTCTCAGCCACACCCAGGTCCCTCGCCTCTGTCTAAGGCCTTGTCCACCCTCTTGAGGGACAGACCACACACCCAGCCACCGCTGCTGGACGCCCTGCAGCAACTTCAGACTCGCCCATCTCACTACCCTCTGTTCCACAACAGCCACCTCCGGTGGGGACACTCCTGTTCACCCAGCTGCTCAGACTGGTCTTCTGATGCAGCCTTCCTTTCACTTTTACCCTCCAAGTAAGTTTGTCAGCAAGTCCTCTCGTCTCTACCCATACCCCTCCCCCTCCACATGGCCCCTGGCTGCCCCAGGCCAGACCACATTCCATCTTTTTTTTTTTTTTTAAGTTTACTTATTTTTGAGAGTGTGTGAGCATGTGTCCAAGTGGGGCGGGAGAAGGTGGGGGGAGAGGGAGGGAGGGAGAGAGTAAAAGCAAGAAAATGGAGGAGGATCCCAAGCAGGCTCTGCATGGTCAGCACAGCCCGAGTCAGGGCTCAAACCCACAGACCATGAGATCATGACCTGAGCTGAAATCAAGAGATGGATGCTCAACCGACGGAGCCACCCAGGCGCTCCTGGACCATATTCAGTCCTGCCTGAACAACCACCCCATCACCTCGTGGGTGCCAAGCTCTGGGCTGGGACCCACCAGCACCCATCCTTCCTAAGCGTGAACTACCTAGCTTGGGGCTTCACACTTTATCATGCCCAGCGCCCGCATTTATCAGCATGGTAAATGCAGATTCTGACTTAGCAGGCTGAGGGCCAGGCCTGCGACTCGGCTCCCAGACGATGCCCTTGATGCTATTCACAGCCCGAGGGCTTCGCAGGTGCTGCTGTCCCTCCCTGCCAACCCCGAACTCCTTATCACCAGGGATAGGAGTTGGGAAAAAGGCACTGAGTGATGTCAGAGGGACAGCGGTTCAGAGTCCAGTCCCTTGCTGCTAATGACAGGACCATGATGAGCAAGTCTCTGTAAGTGACACAGGCCAGCAGCGTCCATCTTCACAAGATCTGTCACATCAGGTGCTCAGCACACAGCTGGCCAGTGTCAGTGGACCCTCCCTGAGAGCGTGCGGCCAGTGACAGATGCGGGACCAGGCAGTCATTACGGGTCATCACACGCAGGACGACCTGGGGCCAGAGCAGCTCAGTGATTCGCCCAAGAACTTGCAGTGAGGACACAGCAGCACTAGGACGCACGCCGGGGGGCGACCCCAGACCCGCTCCCAGGAGCCGCCATGGGCCTGTGATGCACGCCCCCTGCCTCCCCAGCTCACCCACCGACCTCACTGGGGGCCCGTTACCCTGGCTGCCCCTTCTCTCCTAGACAAAGGCATGTTACTCCAGCCTCCGCATTTCTGATCGTTCTTGCTTCTAGTCTGAAGACATGATGTCCCCACATCCCACCTACCACTGCTGGATGCCCACCGCCATCTTTCTCCCTTTCTAGTTCTTTCTGCCATGGAATCGGAGTCCCTATTCTTACCCATCCCTGACGGACTGCAGGGGCCCTGGGGGATCTCACTGGGCTGAGACGGGAGCTGGCCATAGCCTGTCAGCCCTCAGAGGGGTTCCCGTCCTTCCTCAAGCACCTGGCTCAGGTTATGGGCTCCCAGAGCACGCGGGTGCCAGGGGCCTTCCCCTCAGCCCCGGGGCTGCACACACCCTCAAAGGATTGCCTTCCCGTCTCTGAAAATAAGGACTCTTTACTTCTTAGCTCAAGGCATTCAGCTCACAAGGTATCGACACAAAGTCACAGTCACAAGAGAGACGAGAGACGCAGTTTCTACAAGTTCCATGAAAATTTTGTTAGTTAGAAGGAAAATATGAACTTCAGGGAACGACAGTCATCTGGAACCGGGGCAAGCTTGCAGCCTGGGCTACGCCCGGGATGTGGGGAGAGCCGGGCTAGCACTGGGGGGCAGGGGGAGGCGCCTCCAGGGCACCGTGTCCTGGCTGGCCCTTACCCCTCTTTGTAGACACCTCCCAGGGCAGCCGCCATGCTATCTGGACCTGTCCCAAGGCTGTGCCCTCCCTGTTCCAGGGGAGTCACTGCTGGGGCTGTGTCCCCTCACCTACTGACCAAGAAATGCCAGCTGGTGCCTGAGACACACTGTGGAGAGAAGCACAGAGTGAGGTGACCAAGGCTGGGGAAAGGCAATTCCAGAAGAGCTGATGGGCTCATCCCTCCGGTGTTCTGTACGAAGCTGGGGGGCTGGGGAGAGAGAACTACCCATGCTGGGTCAGAACAGGCCCAGCCAGTGCCCGGACAGGCTGAGGAGGGCGGGCAGAAGAGGCGCCCCAGCAGGCAGGACCCCCTCCGCAGGGCTCCTGGCTCCGGACACAGGACAGATCCAGTCTGGGAGCAGTGGCACCTCCCTTTTACCAGGGTCGCTGTGCCCAGACAGGCTCCCACGGGCTGTGGCGGGGGGAGGGGCTGCCATCCCCCTGGAGAAATGATCCAGAGAGGAAACAGGAGGGGGGACCCAGAGATGGGAGGTCGAAGTGGGAGAAGCACGGAAATAATGCTGGGCAGGCAGCAGGCAGCGCCAGTGATGTCTGCGCAGAGGCAGGGCCGGGGTGGACCCCAAGGGGAGGGACAGGTGTGAGTGGTCACCTCTGAGGCCGGCCGGGAGCTGGGCCAGCAAGATTACAGCACGGCTTTCCACAGCAGACCCGTGGGGGCCTGTGGAGTTGAAGGTTCTCATCTCTCGAAAGGTCACTTTTTTTTTTTTTTTTATCTTGGCTGAGGTCTGATTGCCATTTATAAAGACATTTCCTGTGCTAGGCCCGCGTGAATCTGAAAACCCAGCCCTCTAGTCACCCTCCACACGCTGTTCCGCATTAAGAGAGCACAAGAGGGCGTTTTCCATTGTCCCGTGAAAGGCGACGACAGACTTTGGCAGCTACCACGTTGCAGAGCACACAATGCCTCAAAGGGACACGGAGGGTGAATTAGGAGCCTGGGAGATCCCAGGAGGGGACTGGAGAGATCGTTCACAGAAGGAGGGGCTGCCCCAAGCCTCACCCAGAGAGGAAGCGTGGGCAGAGCCAGCACCCCAGGGGGACCCAGTCTCCTGCCTGCAGCCCAAGCTCCTCCCCCTGCCAATGCAGCCTCAGTAAAGGCGGCCAGCTAGACTGGTGGGCAGGTGAGGACAGACACCCAGGTGGCCGAAAGCATTGGTCCTGCTCGGAGGTCAGCGGGCAAGGGCGCCCTTGCCCTCTCCCTCCGTTGCAATCTGGCATCTGGTGTGGTGAGAGCCCACAAGCGGCGTGCTGTCTGCAGCGTGGGCGAGGTGTACCCAGGCCCTGGGGCCAACACATGCAGGCAAGCCCTGGCTCTCAGCCCCTCGTGCACCCGAGACTGCAGCCCCCATGTGAACGGGGGTCCTCGTAACTGGAGAACATAGACGGTTTGCGAGCCTCTGCCTGTCCCCAAAGAGGTCTGGGCTCTACAGGGCTAATTTGAAGACCCAGCAGTTGTCCTTTGAAAGGCGAATGCAATTCGGTCCTTTCTTCTTCCTCATCCCATAAACCAAGAGAAAGGAGTGAACTCTGACCTTGCCCTAAAATTGTCTGTCAATGTCCTACACACACATACATGTCTACGTGCCCTATCCTATCCTTTTTTTTTTTTTTTAATGTTTGTTTCGTTTTGAGAAAGAGAGAGGGAGAGAAAGAAACAGCATGAGCAGGGAAGGGCCAGAGACAGAAGGAGACACAGAATCTGAAGCAGGGTCCAGGCTCTCAGCTGTCAGCACAGAGCCCAATGCAGGGCTCAAACCCACTAACTGTGAGATTATAACCCACAAACTGTGAGATCATGAGGTCGGATGCCCAACCGACTGAGCCACCCAGACGTCCCTGTCCTATACTTTTTAAAGTGAGCTGTCTCTTTTCATAGGGCACTTACTATGCACGTGCCCAACCCTTTACCTCTGCTAACCCATATAATCCTTACAACCCCCATTAACCCCATTTCACAGATGAAGACAGCAAGGCACATGCTGCCTCCAGTCAAGGACACGCTCATCCCTGTATTACAATGAACTGTGGCTGCAGGGAATCCTGCATTTTCCCAGCTGTGCACACTCACGACCCCCTGAACGTGCCGCCCGGCTGCGTACTGCAGACAAGGGCTGCGGGAGGAGGGCGCCCCCCTCTGGCAGGGGTTACCTTCTTGCTGAGCTGCTGGTTCTCCTTCTCCAGCTCGCTGCACTTCAGGCTGCTCTCCTCCAGCGCCAGGGATGCGTCCCGCAGCCCCTGGATGGTGCTCTGGAGGCTCTGGTTCTCCTTCTCCAGCTTCAGGATGCGGCTGGAGGCACATTCGTTCAGCTCAAACACAAATGACTTCCGGGAGGCTGAAAGGCAAAGTCGGGTCAGAGACCAGGTTCCAGGAGCCTCTGCTTCCAGTCTCTGCCCCCAGCCCAGGCGGCGCTGCTGCGGTCAGCACCCTAGAGACCTTCTCTGGTCCCTCTGCGGGCTCAGCCGGGGTCTGGGGGAGAAACCCGGCGCTTAAGAGGAAAGCAGCTCATAGAGAAGGGGCCAGTGCAAAAGTCACAGACTAAGTGAACTGTTTTTACCAAGCTAACTGGACTGTGCACTCAAGGACTGTACAGACCGACAGAGAGGGCAAACAGGTGCCATTTCTGGGCTGGGTCTGGAAGGTTCGGCATGAAGGGCAGGATAATCGACTAGTTATGTCTGCCACGAGCAGTCAGCAGCTGTGTGGGCACGGACGCCCAGTACCTGTCATCCTTTTGACAGAGATTTTCTAATTTCACAATTGTACTTTAAAAAAGCAAGATGGGGGGGCGCCTGGGTGGCTTAGTCGGTTAAGCGTCCGACTTTCGCTTAGGTCATGATCTCGCAGTTTGTGGGTTTGAGCCCCGCGTAGGGCTCTGTGCTGACTGCCAGCTCAGAGCCTGGAGCCTGTTTCAGAGTCTATGACTCCCTCTCTCTCTGACCCTCCCCTGCTCACGCTGTCTCTCTCTCTCTCTCTCCTAGAAATTAAAAAAATAAAAAAAATTTTAAGTAAAATAAATTAAAAAAAAAGCAAGATAGTGTGTGTGTGCGCGCGCATATATATATATAAATTGCTTTAAAATTCTAAGAGATGAAAATGTGAGCCAAAGACAGAAAAAGGCAGATTATCTACTCTGCTTCTAAAGCAGCTCAAACACAAGTGAAGGAAGAAGGGGGCACAGACCCAAGAGTCAAGGACAGGAGTTCTCAGCCCCCTCCTGCCACAGCACGTGAATCATACTGGGTAACTTGAGGGGCTTTTTGGGAAAGGAAAAAGGACTGTGTGTGAAAGCCCCTGAGAGAAGGGATCGGGGCCGTACTGCCCTCTTCTGTCCTGTGAGTACCACACACTGAGCTTTGGGAGCCTCACCACACCGTACAGCTAATACACCCCCCGTCCCACTACTCATTCATCCCGCCGGGGACCGGAGGTACCGACAGGGGACGACTCTCACAGCAAGCACATTAAACCAGAAACAAATGGGAGCGCCTGAGTGGCTCATTCGGTTAAGCATCTGACTTCGGTTCAGGTCATGATCTCACAGTTCGTGGGTTCTAGCCCCACGTCGGGCTCTGTGCTTACAGCTAGCTCAGAGCCTGGAGATGCTTCAGGTTCTGTATCTCCCTCTCTCTCTGACCATCCCCTGCTCACGCAGTCTCTCTCTCTCTCTCTCTCAGAAGTAAATAAAAAAAAAAAAATCAAAACATTAAACTGGAAACAAATGTGTGTCTGGATCCTCTGCGTGATCTTAAGAAATGGAAAGCATCTGTATCCCTCTGAGTTCTCGTCACCCACCAAGGACAGAGCACCCAACAAGCCAGCGTGTCCTCAGGACCCCAGGCCACAACAGGCAGGCAGCAGTGGGGTGGGTGGAGCGTCCGCAGCGCCGACGCCCCGAGCACACGTGCTCCCGATGTGCAAACACGTGTGCGCGGCGGGTTCTGCCTTGACTGCGCTGCATTCCAACTAACCCGACCTAAAAACCCCACGGCCTCAGAACCTGTGATCACGTGGGCAGCACTCATGGGGAAAATCATGTTTCTCATTGTGGTGCAATACACGGAACATAACATTTACCATTTTTATCACTGTCAGTTCGGTTCCCCGGCATTAGATACATTCTCGCTGGGTAGATACAACCACCCCCACAGTCCATCTGCGGACTTGGTCATCATCCCAAACTGAAGCTCTGTACTCATGGAGGAAAAATGTGAAGGCTCCACGAGGTGAACAAAGGAATTGGTCACAAGCCTCATTTCCCCTTCAGTGAAAGGCAAGGCCTCAGAGATAATGAGGACACAAGAGTTTATCACAAAACAACCGATGGCTCTTGACAGAGCGTTTCACTCGTTAGCACCTCCAGCAATCAGATTTGTGAGATAGGTTGTGTGTGTGAGCGTGTGGGAGAGGGAGGTTTTGACTCAAGGGCAAGAGCAAGAAAGAAGACCAGAAGAAAGAAGCCCTTCCCGGGAGGGCCTGGAGACCAGGCACAGTGTATTGCTTCACCGCCTCCTGTCACTGGGTACTCACGGCCATCCTGTGAGGTGGCGGCATTACCCCCATTTTGCAGATAAGGAAACTCAGCTAGCCAACCAGCTCTGATTCGAGAAGCCACCACACCATACGTGCACAAGCACGTTCGAGCTCTGCTCACGTGACACCATGCAAACCAAGGCCTGCGAGCTCCCAGCTAAAGCACTAGGAATGGGAACACCAAGAATAAATCATAATTATTGACCTGAAAGGGCTCACAAACGCACTCCATTGTCTGAATGGGTAAGGCCTCCGACTCCAACAGCCGCCCTTGGTCTCTCACGGAAACACTCACGTTTGGTCTGAGACTGTCCTAGGCAGCCTGCACTACCGCTCTGCCCCACCAGGGGGCAGCGGTCCTCCCCAGGGAACCTGAACTCCCAGGACTTGAAATCCAAGAGAATCAAACCCCCGCCCCACAGCCCCGAGGCCCCACCACGGCCCGGGGGCACCACAGCACAGGCAGAACTAACTTCTCACATGGATTAATAGTTTAATCAACTGATTTTACGTTTGGAGCCTGAAGAGAAGAAATTACCCAGCTGCTTTCAGCAACCCTTCCGTTATGCTTAGGGATGTTTACCAGAAATGAAAAAGCCACCCTGAAGCCCACCCAATACCCTGCCCACGCACTGTACAGTCCTAAGTAAACAGTAACTCACACTATAAGGTATACGTGTACTATTTTTGAACAAAGGAACTGGCTTATTGTTTGCCCAGCGCTGGAGCTTCCTGCTGCCCCGCCCACCCGTCCCCCAGCCAACGCCTTGCCTGGGGTGCTGGGCACAGCGGGGAGGGGAAGAGGCCTGGGTCCTGTGAGGAGCAGCCACTTAGCGATCCCCACCCAGAGAGACAGAAAACAGACTGCATCCATCTTGCCCAATTACGCAAAAGAACAGAGGAAAGAACACCCAGGGTCCGTGTACAGTGGAGATTAATGACCACTGGGGATGTCACCTGCCATCCAGAGCTTTCAATCATCCACACAGAGGCCTAACACGTCCTCTGGGGGTCAGCGTGCTGTAATCTGGAAGCTCCTAGGACTGTCCATATGGGAAACGAGAAAGCTGGCAACGCTTAATTTGCATTTCATGTCCCCACCCCGAGGCTGCCAGATCCCTCATGTTTTCCTTGGGGAGAAAGGCGATGAAATTGTTCCAAATGGCTCTTGAAGGAAACCCTATTTACTTGGGGTGAGTGGCTAGACCAACACGGAAGATTCTGAGCCAAGGGCTCAGCTCCCAGGCGAGGAAGCTGCGGCAGCCAGGGTGGCCAGGGACCCCGGGCGCTACCCACCGTCGGACAGGTCTGCATTCTTGGACAGCTGCTCCAGCTCCCAGCCCAGGTGCACCGACTCGTTCATGCTCTGCTTCTGGGCTATCTCGAGGACCATATTCTCCTCCAGCAGCTCCTCAATTCGCTTCTTGTCTGTGTCCCGGTCCTGGGGCAGAAGAGCGAGGGAGTGAGGCTGTGGCTGGGGGCTCCGCTGGACAGGGTCCAGCCCCCAGGCACCTGCCCTCGTTCCCCCAGGATGAAGGGACGCCGTGCACCGGCTCCCGAAACACCCAGCTGCAAGGAAACCTCTCCAACACAGGACCAGCTGCGTGTTACAGCCATTAAAAGCTACCCTAGCCCAGTGACCTATAGGTAACAAACACAGACCCGAGGTCACTAACGGAATGCTACCTCGACAAAGTGACGCACCACACAGGAACTTAAAGCAAGTAACGTGGGGCACCTGGGTGGCTCGGTCGGTTGAGCATCCGACTTCGGCTCAGGTCATGATCTCACAGTTTGTGGGTTCGAGCCTCACATCAGGCTCTGTGCTGACAGCTAGCTCAGAGCATGGAGCCTGCTTCAGATTCTGTGTCTCCCTCTCTCTATGACCCTCCCCTGCTCACGCTGTCTCTCTCTCTCTCAGAAATAAATTAAAAAAAATTTTTTTTAATAAAATAAAATAAAGCAAGGAACGTGATGCCAGGGGGCTCTGGGGTCCTCGAGCAGGCCTAACACACCTTGGAGAGGCTGTACAGAGACTCACAAAATCACAGCTCACCATGAAGGCCAGCAAGGACCTTCCTGCAACAGACGTGCCTACAGAAATGCGTAAGCGGTCAAGTCTCGTGTCGTGGGCGTCGAGTGCTGCCCACTCAGGCATGCTGAGCTTAGCAAGCTGCCCTCCATGGCACACGAGCCACCATGGCAGCAGCAGTGACAAAGGCCTAGGGGTGAAAGCCCGGAGAAGGGCACAGCACAGACCCGACACCACCCTGGTCTGTTTCGGATGTAGGGGCGGGAGCCGGCAGTACCAGTTCCAGGTCGTGAAGCTTGGATTTCAGCTGCAGGTTCTCCTTCTCCAGCTCGTGCACTTTGTCGCCCCGGGCCCGGGCCGCGGTCAGCTGCTCCTCCAGCATGGCCTTGGTCTCGATTAAAATGATGTTGTCCTCTCTCAGCTCCTGCTCAGGAAAAACACACACGAGAACCGTCAAATGAAGAAGGCACCCGGTTCACAACAAGGGTTCTGGCCGAAACACACGCTGTAGGGGTGAGACCACTGTGTGCGGGTGGGAGGGTGCATGTCCACTTTTCAGCACCCCCACCTTTCACTGGGCTGGGCCAAATGGGCATTGTCTAGTGAAAGAAAAACCGCAGATCAAGAAAATGTTTGAATTCGGTGTTTTCCTCAGTAGACGCTTCCTCGGGGTCTGTGCTGCCCAGGGAACGAAGACATCTCCCTTGTTAAAAAAAAAAAAAACAAAAAAAAACAAAAAACCTCATCTGGTTAGACGAGCAGACTCTGCTGACAGAAACGGGCCCTTGCTGAGACCCATTTCTTCTTCTTCTTCTTCTTTTTTTAAGTTGTTATTTTTGAGAGAGAGCAAGTGAGCAAGTGGGGCAGGAACAGAGAGAAAAAGAGGGAGAGAGAATCCCAAGCAGGCTCCATGACGTCAGTGCAGAGCCCAACGTGGGGCTCGAACTCACGAACCATGAGATCATGACCTGAGCCAAAATCAAGAGTCAGATGCTTAACTGCCTGAGTCCCCCAGGTGCCCCAAGCCCAGCTTCCTTAACAAGGAAGATGTGGGACTGACAGTCTGTCCCAAGTTCAAGGGCTGAGTCTAGTCCTCTAGACTCAACATTCACTTTGTAGCCAGGGTCCTGGGAAGAGGGAGCTGTTCTGATCGGCTTTCGTTCAACACCCTGCTCCTACCTGAACAGGTCACATACGAACTCTGGAAAACCACAGCTCTCAGCAGTTTCCTGGAAGTCGGGAGTCTCTGAGACAGCTAAGTGGCAAACAAATGGGAACCTCACAAATAAGTACCACAGGCCCCCTGGGTGTTAGGCACGTGCTGGGCATGGAGCGCAATGGCTGTTCCCTCGAAGACCCCTTCATGGGCCAGGGGCTGCTGGACTCTCACTTCTGCACCTCTGCACCAGACAGCCCAGAGAGCACAGGACAGAATCCAGCTCATTTGCCCCATTTCTCTTCCCCCTTTGTTATGGGGCTTCTTGGTTTCTCTTCTCCCCAGAGCCCTTCCAGCACCACTCAGGATCTCAGAGGGATGGAGTTTCCCCAAACGCCTTCGCAGTGTGTGCAAACATGCACACGCGGGAATGTGTCTGTAAAATTGTCCAAGGCCTGCCTCCCTAACAACTGGGAAGCTCCTGCTTATCCACTACACGCTTGTCTTCCCTTCCCCGCACTGAGGATCCTTAGTAGAGGGGAAACCACATGCCTTCTGGTCAGCAGTCACGGTTCTGATCCAAGTCCAGCAGCTGTGTAGGGTTTTAGACTCAGGATTACGTAGAAGCCCTCTCCCTTTCGGAGACTCTGCCCACTGTGCGGCTGGCCCTGCCCTGGGCACTCCCTGTCCCTACCTCCCTGAGAGGGAGGCAGAGACAATCCCTTTTTGCAGATGAAGAGGCTTAAAGTAAGCCATGAGCCCCCAGTCACAAAGCCAGAGTGGTGAAGCTGGGACTTGAGTTCTGGCCAGAGAGGTCCAGACGTGTTCTCTCCACTGCCTGCAGCTGACTGCAACTCATCCTCAAAGGGCTCACTGGGAAAGAGGCCCAGACCAGCCACAATGATGCAAGCCAGAGCACCCACGGGGGTATCAAGTGGCAAGAAGGGCTGACCCCTCCTCTCTGGCCGCTGCCCCCACTGTTCACACTGTGATTCCAGCAGCTGCACCCACCTGCACTTTCCACCATCACCTCACTACTGGGCTCCCGCAGCTCCCACAGCACGGGCTCCCCCTTCATCCTCACAACCGACTCCTGATCAGCCTTCAAAACCCAGCCTGAGTTGCCCCCTCTGAGAGATGCCTGCAAATTCACTCTGTCCTGCCCGCTGAGCCAGGTACTTGGGCTCCCAGAGGGCCCTGGACATGCGGTGAGGCGAGTGGCCCACCCTCCTCCCCCAGACCTGAAACTCCTCAGGGTAGGGCTGTTCCATTTCTGCCCTTGTGAGCCTCACAGATTTGTTCAGTAATACCTGTTGGCTGAAACAGGCGGGCAGCGGGGGTGGGGTGGGATGGGGTAGGGGTGGGGGGAGTCAGGGCAGGTGAGGTGGGCCCTCAAGGACTCAAGAGACTTCCAGCAGGCAGGGATGGTAAGAGTATCCGGAAGCGAAAAAGAGTGTGGAACACGATGATTTCTAACTACTATTCAAAAATATCTTAATCTTCTGGCTTCATCAACCTCCACCATGTACCAGGCAAAAGAAGTAGCTCGGCGTGTCTTGTACACCCCACTGCCTCAGAAGGGAGAAACCGGATCTGCGGGGAATTGTGCCCCAGCTCCGACCGCAAGCTGCAGGCTCAGCCCGGACGACTGAGCATCTTTATTCCTCACCTCTGGGCAGCTGCCTGCAGCTAGCCGCCCCCCCCCCCCCCCCCCCCCCCCCCCCCCCACTCACAGACCTAACCTCAACTGAACCAGGCAGCTATTTAAAGGCCTGACCCAGCCCTGTGAACAGCTGAGGGGCCACATTTAGGCAGTCACAGGCCAGGCCTGATGGCTGGTCCCCAAGGGGCTAAAGAGCAGTCCCTGCTAATCTGGCGTGCTGACTGGGAGCAGTGACCGGGAACGTGGGCTGACAGGCTCCAATTCCCAGGCCCGTCGATGTGCTATTAGCCATGGGACAAGAAGCAAGTGCACATCCCTCAGTGCAGATCCCTCCTTTCTGCGAGGGGCACACAAATAGGGCCTCTATGGGATCAGACGCAGTAAGGCTGGTCAAGTACTCCGTGCATGGTGCCTGAGGCCCAGTGAGGTTGGGAGTCATCATCCCCTCTCGCCCCTGTGGTCAGCCCAGCACTCCCCAAGCATCCATCCACCAGGCAGCAGGCAAACACTCGTTTCCAGGGGCCCTCCTTGACCCCCAACAACCAAATGCCAGAGGCGTGGGGTTGGGGTTGGGAGAGCAGAAGTGGAATCAAACAAACCACCAGGTCCCTCCCCGCTGCACTCAGATCGCGGAACCAGCATCTAGAGCAACAAAGCCAGCCTGGAGGTGTCCTTGGGAGGGACACGGGGGCACTCCATGCTGGGTGGCCAGGCCAACCGCTCCCTCAGCAAAGATCGCCCCCTCGCTAACCTCCACCTGTTCACCCCGCCCCACTGCAGTCTGCCAGGCTCCCGAGAAGACATGCCTGTTCCTGGACTTCACCCGCCTCTGGGAGCGTGGTGAACGGTACATCAAACGTCAGGTCTGTCTGCCCTTCTCCTTCTTAAGTACCGAATTTATCAGCCCTCCCAGAAGTCATTAGGAAACACAGTCCCAGGTGGAAAGAGAAAACGAGCGTCCCAAGGTACTGACTCAGCGCCCTGAATTTTAATGCTCCCCGCTCACGACATGACATCCGAATTCCCACAAGGACTACCAGAGGGGGGCCTCTGCCTGTCCTTCCATGGGGGTGTGGCCACCATCACCCCCTCCTGAGTGCCCCCCCCACTTCACCTCTCCCCTGCCCCTGCTTTGTCTCTGCGAGTCCCTCCCCCTTCTATTTCCTTCCTCATCAAGGCTGAGCCTGACAGACACGTTTCAGTGCAACCTCCGTACTGAAAGGGCGAGATGCACACGACGTGAATCAATCCTCAGTTTTCTCACATGAAGAAATGACAGGAAACAGCAGTGGCTGCTAAGCCTTGTGGGCCACCATGAGGCTTACATGTGATGATGTAGTGGGAGCTTAACCACTCCTAGAACGTGGAAAAAGCTTCATAAACATAGTTTTAACTGCTCTTTAAAAACCTTGCTGCCCATCTACTCTGAGCCAGACAGTTTATTTTCAGCTTTTTGGGTCATAAATCTGTCACAACCACCCAACTCTGCAGGTGCACCAAATGCAGCCACAGAAAATACGTGAACGGATGATGGGTGCCGCTGTGTTCCAATAAAACTTTATACTTATAGGATGGATGGGGGGCCGGATCTCATCCTTGGACGGACTGAAGTCTGGTCATCCCCAAGCTACACAACACGCTCAAGGTCAGTCAGGCACAGACCTGGGCTCCAAGGAGCTCCCAATGTGGGCGGGAAACCGGGGAGCACATCACAGCACCATGTGAGGAGCACTGCCCAAGTCAACAGGAGGTGAAGTGTGAAGCAGGAAGCTGGGGGACGCAGCCCACAGAGCCCACCTGCCCTCTCCTGGTCTGGCCCTGCATTGGGGAAGATGAGCTGGGCCAAGGAGACCTCAGAGGGGCACTGGGGGGGACCTGAAGGGGGTGAGTGCCAGACAAGGGGCCGAGTGTGTGTTTCATCCCAAGAGCGACGCACAGGTAGGTGCCTGAGGGGCTCTTAGAAGGGCCATCGTGGCGGCAGGATGGAGGGATGCAGACGACAGACGGAGGCAGAATGGCCAGGTGGGATACTTGTGGAGGACATCCTGTGTGCAGGCTGCGGGGTCACATGAGCCATGACAGAGATCTAGGCCAGCAGGTGGGAAAATGGGCTCTGCAGGATGGGGAGCATCTGGGGCTGGGTGGGCTGATCATGAACCCAGCTCCTAATTGCCTTGACAACGCCCGCGCCCTCACCCCCCCCCCCCAGTAAGGTCGGCTCCCAGGGCTCGCTAGGATCAGCTCGCTGGAAATAAAAGCTGCTGTACCGCACAATGCCAGGGCACCCAGCAAGGGCGTGCCCTGCTAGGTCTCTGCCTCTCACACTACGTTTACTTTGGCTCCAGCCCTGCCTAGGAAGCCATAAATCCCACAGAGGAGCAAGTACAAGGCCTGTCTTACCTGCGCCCTGCTCAGGACGCACATGGCACCGAGGCACCTGTCCTCTACTGTTGGCAATTTCGGCCAAAACCAAATGTCCGGGCAGCCTCTCTGCCTGTGTCCTCCTCCCACAAGGCGCGCTGGCAGCAGCGAGGAGGGACGAGGGGTCACAAGAGGAAGCCAAGGGCCACCTGGTGCACCCGTGCCGGGCAGGGCCATACCGCTCTCATCCTGTCGCGTGAACCCTCATGGAAACTGCAGCAGGAGGCACAGAAAAGCTGCCAGAAGCTTCAGGGTAAAACATGGAAATTTGTGGCCTGTAGTTTTCTAGAGCAAATTAATCCTGCCTTTGTCCTGAACCCCAAGGCCTTTTATCTTTTCCTCCCACAAGGCACGAACACATGCTGCCTCCTGTGATACGTGTTAACGGGTCTCTCCGGGAGGGCACCTGCGCTGCCAGCCACTCTCCGTGTCTGGAAGAGCGTCCCCTACGGGGTAGGCGTCCACAATGTGTTCCTCTCTGCCCTCCAGCCCATCACACCTAGCCCTACCCCATTCTCCGGGAGAAAAGAGCTCTAGATTCTTCCCGTCCTCTTCCCCAGTTCAAGTCTTCTTATTGCTGAGTGATGGAGTTTTACCTGATTTGTGGGGTGATTACCAAGTGCCCTGTGTGTGCCGGGCCCTGGGCATGAAGTCACATTATGACCTAGTCCCTGCACTCAGGGGCTCTAGGTCCCTATAAGCAGCCTCAGGCCAAGCTCTACCCAGAAACCTGATGTCAGCCTGGCCAGACCCACGTCTCGCAGAGAAAAGCCGGCGGTAAGGAGAAAAGTACCCTCTTGATAGGACTGTGGTCCTCACGCTTGGCAATGCTGAAAAGCCACCTGGGAGAGAGCCTTCAGGCCGCACATTTCTGGGGTCCGTGCCTGGGATCTAGGTAGGGTAGGGCCCAGGAATCTGCATTTTGAGCAGGCTGGACTCGGATACAGGCAGATACAGACCACCTCTTGAGAAATGGAGCTCTAACACATAGCGCTGCTCAGTATTTTAAATTATTTCATTATTAAGGTGATGTTAATCACGTATGAACTTATTCAAAAGAGTTAATATCCATTGCTCTCTTTTCACCTTCCACCGCCCCCCCCCCATATTTTATTATGGAGATTTTAAAGCCTCCTTGAAAGTTGAAAAAAATATTCTGAACACCACACACATCACCAGGATTCTGTAATTAGTGTTTTGCTCTATTTCGTTTGTCACACATCCCCCCATCTACCGATCTTTCTTTCTTTAGTTTTAGATGTGTACAAGTCATACTTGGGTATTTCCTAATCTAAGGGTTTTATCACATGCAGGTCAATCTCCATTCACAGACACATGTCTGCATGGCACGGAGTATTTTTTAAGAGGGTTTTTTTTCTTAATATTTATTTTTGAGAGAGACACAAAGCACAGGCAGGGGAGGAGGAGAGAGAAAGGGACACACAGAATCCAACGCAGGCTCCAGGCTCCGAGGTGTCAGCACAGAGCCCCACGCAGGGCTCCAACTCACAAACCGTGAGATCATGACCTGAGCCGAAATCAAACGCTTAACTGACTAAGCCACCCAGGGGCCCCTGCACTGCGTGCTTCAAATTGCTTAGATATTATCCAGGAATCTTGGGGGTGAATCCCTTGGAAGTGTGTGTTAGGACACCCTGGAAGATCTAGTTTTACATATAAAGCTGGGCAACGCAGTTTTTCTGAAACACAAACATGGGCCCAAAATACGCACCTGTGCATCAAGATAGTGCTGCCCCCTCACATGAAGCACCGGAAGGACCTGGGCCCGAGTCTGTGCACAGGCAGCCCATCTCCATCCCTGCAGGCCCCAGGTGCTGCTGGCCCGCATCCCACAGCCACCTGTCCCGAGCTCTCGGAGCAGCATTCCAGGTGAACGGCCAGCATGCACCCCGAGCGCCCTGGGAGGCAGCTGGCCGGGGGGGGGGGGGCCTGTGCAGGAGTCTGAGGAGGCAGGGGCTCTACTGCGGCCCAACAGCAGTCAGTTCTATCACTGCTGCTCACAGAAAACCCCAGATACGGGGCACCTGGGAGGCTCGGTTGGTTAAGGGTCCAACTTTGGCTCAGGTCATGATCTCGAAGTTCTGGAGTCTGACCCCACATCAGGCTCGCTGCTGTCAGCACAGAGCCTGCTTCAGATCCTACATCTCCCTGACTATGCCCCTTCCCTGCCTACACTCTCCCCAAAACAAATATTAAAAAAAAAGAAACCCCAGATATAATTCTTTCCACAAGTGTTCATCCAACACCCCCAAAGGGCCAGGCACCGGTCCAGATGCTGAGGACATACCCACGAACAGAGCAAACAGAGTCCCCCATCCCGGGGCCCATGTCACTGGGAGTCACGGAAGCTGGAGCAAGAAATTGACCCTGGGCAGTCCATTCAACCTCCCCAAGCTCAGCTCATCCTCAGGGCTGCTTCGAAGAATGAACAAGAACACACAGTTGTTGCTCAAGTAATGCTCAGCAGCTCATGGCCTGTGGCAAGGAGAGGGAGGGTGCTCACCAGGCTGGAGATGGGCCCATCCCAGCTGATAAGAGGGCGTGTGGGCCCCATCTGGCTGGCAGACTGCCACAGCCCATGGCATCCTGATGCCCCTTCTGGTCTGTTCCCCACCCAGAAACCCGAATGTACTTTCTAAAATCCAAACCACACCATTCCCCTCACTCAAACGCTTCCTGAGGATGGCCTGCGCCTTCCACGGCTGGACCCTATGGCGGCTTCCAGACAGCGAGCAAGACTGATGTGACTACTTCAGATCTGAGGAGGAGTGCCCAAGTGCTCCCGTCCACTAAGCCCCATTATCAGGGGCATCCCAGCACAGCAAGACTCATCCTCTGATGGATGGCCTGCACTCCATGGACCAGGCCCTGTTCATCAGCCAGCCTGGGCTGCAAAGGGTCTGCAAAGCCACTCATGTCACTGCCTGCCCCCAAGTAAACCCCTGATGCAGAAAGATACCACTTCTCTCGTGGCGAATAAACATTAAGGAAAATTCAAGTATTCCCAAGCTCCTGGTAACTTTACACTATGCAATTAATAAATCTGAAAAATGTTGCTGTTGCTACACAGGCACAACATCTGAGAATTAGAGAAGCCTGAGAATAGAGGGTCCTAGGAGAAACCCTGAAGGTCGGGAAGCTCTGTGAATGCAAGGCTTGCGTCTAGATGCCCAGCTGCCGGTGCAGGCCCTGGCACCGTACGGGCGCTTAGTCACTGTGTCTGGATGACTGTGCGAGGCTGCCTGGACGGGACCGGGGTGCACACAGAGACAGAGACTGGATCCCGAGGCCCATCTGCTCCACGGGACAGAATCAGGGTGAGGTATGGGAGCCACACTCTGCCTGTGATCTCATGTGGGAGCTGCAGAAGGTTCGCACTGTGTAGGAAGGGCTGCTGGGGTGGCACTCTGGGGAAAGTGCAGGAACCCCCCCCTCCGGCCCCGATTCTCCCAACTGTGGCATTTCCAGTAAGTGATGAAAGGCGCCGATAGGTGCTCGTGTCCCAGAACCTGTCTGTGCCGGGGATTTATGCCTTTCAAATTCAGTGGAGCCAGTGGACCGTTTCCAGGACAAAGCCAGAGTGGGGTCTCCCACCCCCTACTTCTCCCACCCCAAGGCCACGGCACCGAAGGCGCCTTCTCTGCAGGAGGTCAGGTGTCACATTCCTTGGGGAACAGACACTCCTCGGGTAACAAACAGGCCTGGCCCCACAGCCTCACATGGCCTACAAGCAGGGCCTGCCCGCAGCAGGGGAGCGCGTCCAGGTCCGCAGCCAAACCGCTGTCCCCAAGCAGGCCTGCTGGCAGCGGGGCCCAGAGCCAGACACTGTGCTCCCCAGCTCCATGTTCCGTCCCCTCGGAAGCCTCCTGAGCAGCAAATGGAATTCTTTCTTACCAAAAAAGCCCGGTTGGTACATGCTGACGTCCTCATCTCACCATCTCATTAAAACCACCTCCAGACCCCCTTGGGATTGGTGATGGGGGCAAAATCCCCAAATCCTTGGGAAGGTGGGTCCTGGAACCCATCGCTGACGTGAGGCAGTCGAGGTGAGCGGCTGAAGCATTGGGGACCCCACTCGGGTCTCGGTCTCCAGTCCCCTGTCAGCCCTGACGCCCTCCCCTGCGTCCCCTCAGAACCTCGGGATCAGAGTGGGCTCCATGACCGAGGGCTTACTGTGGGCCTTGCCCAAAGGACAGGCATTTTGTCCTTCATCTGGAAAAAACTCATCAAGTGGTAGCATTACTTCTATTTTATGGGTGAAGAAACAAATTCCCAGAGTTAGCCACAGAAACTGCAAGAAGTAGAAAAAAAAAAATTCCATGAACAGAAACTCCTCACCACGGCAGAAGGCAGGAAAGCCCTACAAGGAACCTGAGCGCTTCAGCACAGAACCACATTGCCTCCTGCCCCCATCCATGTGACACCTCCGAGTGGGTGAGGAACAGAGAGAGGGAGCCTTCTGGGCCCGCAGACAGGCTGCGGTGCGGGCAAGGCCTAGCCACCGTGGAGGCCTTCACAGATCCCTCTCCCCGGCCAGCGAGCAAGCGTTCTAGAAGGCTTGGGCTCACCTCCATGCGCGCCTTGTAGAAGTCCACGTCGTGAAGCTTCTCCCTGCAGCGCACCAGCTCCATCTCCAGCCTCTCCACACGGTTCGCCTTCTCCCTCAGGGAGTCCAGCTCATCGCGGTAGGCACGAGCAGACCGGGCATCAGCCGCCAGCTGGACGTTCTGGGAGGTGGCAAAAGGCAGGGGACCCCAGCTGAGGGCGCCCCTCTGGGGAGGCGAGAGGGACCCAAGTCCCTGTGGCACAGTGCTTCCCGGACATCCCAGGAGCGGGCAGGTCGGTGTGCAGGCTCCTGCGTGGGGTCCCCCGTACGCTGTCACAAAGACCCACGGTCCTCCCCCGCCCCCAGCAGTTCTGGGGACAGCTGGCTGTCTGGCAGTGTTGCTTTGAGCAGGACAGAAACACAGGCCATTACCGGAAGCCCCCAATGCCGCTTCCCTGTGCCTCCCGCCCACAGTCACTGGGGAGTCTCAGCCGCCACCACCTCACCTCCTCCAGGACACACACACGGGCCCGCTCACCTCCTGCTTGACCTTCTGAAGCTCTAGCACCAGCTGGTCCACCTCATGCCTGGTGTCCACAAGCTGCTCTGTCTTCTCCTCCCTGGGGGCAGTGTGGAGGCACGGAGGTGAGAAGCGCCCTCAGACAGCACCCCGAGGGCCCCCCCCACCTCATGAGACCACAGCAGAGAGAAGAACGACGGCTTCTGGGACTGAGGAGGGCAGACTGCATACGGGGCTTACAAAAATGTTCCCGACTCGCATTCTCTTCTGTTTTTAACTTTTCAAGGCCTGCTCTCAAGCTCCACCCACCACCAGACACTGGGCTTCCCTCTGAGGGTGCGGGGCAGGGGTGCAGCGAGGAGGCTCCAGCCACAGGTGCGCTCCCCACAGCCAGGCGGGCAGCAAGGGAGACAAGCAGCTCCCCAGATGGGGCAAAGGGACACTCCTGCTGCAGGAAAGAGGGACAACAGGTTCTCCAGATGGTGGGGTGTGGGCAGGCGGGTCGCACCCTCCCTCCAGCCAAGGAAACATACAAGTATGTGATCAGTCCTGCCCCAAACTAGACAAGTGTGGACACGAGGCTATCTGCAGACCATCTGTAACCGGGGCTGGTTGGAGCCCTAAAGACTTGATAGAAGCTCCCCCCACCCCCACCCCCCGGTGCGGGCCTGGCAGGGAGGGACCAGTCCACGTTGGGGCAGGCCCCCAGCTTGGGGCAGGCCCAGCGCTTCAGTTTGCTGCACCACACGACAGAACCGTGTGTGGGACACACCACACAAGAGCAGACAGACAGCCCGTGGGCTGGGGGCTGGGGGGAGGTCCCTGGAGGACTCACAGCTCCTGCCTCACACGGCGCAGCCTGGCCTTGGTGTCCGCCAGCTCCACGGCCAGGTGCTGCTTGTCCTCGCTGGAGAGGCTGCTGGTGGGGCTGGGGGTGGACTCGGCACTCGAGGACTTGAGCGGGCTGGGAGGCTGCTGCGCCTGCAGGTAGTCCCGCTCCTGCGTCAGGTCCACGATCAGCTGCGGCGGGGCAGGGGGGAGGCGGGGAGAGTGGTCTCACCAGGGCGCCACGCGCACTTGGCCAGAAACATTGAAAGACAAGGAGAAAGTAAGAGCAGATGCCGGGCAGAGGGGGAGAAAGCAGGAGGGAGGTGGCGTGAGTTTTTAGGAAGAGATGGAATGTTCAGTGGGACCAGGAGGGCGCGAATGGGGGCGGATCCCGAGCTGGGCGTTTCCACAAGCTTCTCTTCCCGCAGGTGTCTGCAGCCACGCACCTCCGTGCACTCGTCACGCTCGTCTATGAGCCTCCGCAGGTGGAACACCATGTTCCTGGAGAGAGCCTCCAGCTCCTCCGGGGCCACGTCCGGGAGCTCGAGCCACTGCAGGTCAAACACGTTCTCTTGGTTGTGGGTCACCTGTGGGCACACGGGCAGGCGCTGCAGAGGCCGCAGGGAAGGTCCCGCTCCCCGCGCTGGGCCGGGCGGCGGGGTCGCGGCTGACGCGTTCCACTATCAACCTGTCACCGTCACGGACAAATGTGCTGTGCAGAGAAGGCGGTGCCGCCTAAGTAGCGCAAACTCCCTTCAACCAAGCTCTGGTGCAAACCACTCCTGCCTTCGACACCGGCTCAGACAGCACCTGGAGTCTTACTTTTTTAATGTTTATTTTTGAGAGAGAGAGAGAGAGAGAGAGAGCGACAGACAGAGCACAAGGAGGGGAGAGGGAAGAGAGAAGGAGAGACACAGAATCTGAAGCAGGCTCCGAGTTGTCAGCACAGAGCCCAACGTGGGGCTCAAACTCACAAACCGGGAGATGGTAACCTCGGCCAAAGTCAGATGCTTAACCACTTAACTGACTAAACCACGCAGGCATCCCAAGCACCGGATTCTTTAATGCCAGGAAGCACTCGTACAATAACTAAAGAGTTATCAGGTATGGTTGTCGTAGCACTGTCAATTTACAACCCAAGAAAGAGAAGCCTCAGGGGGCTGGGAGGGTGAAGAGAGGGACCCTGTGTTACTACTTCAAAGCCAATGTGAATACGGCGAATATAACAGTCTTATGTCAGAATGCTGGGTATATAACCATCTTATTGGGGGGGGCGGGAATACTTCATAATCTAAGACAATCTTCAGGAAGCCTGAATCTCTTTCCTCACGTACAAGCGTCTGGTTTCCCCCTCTCCACCAGGTGAGTGGAGGCCCGCAGGATGTCTGTGCAGGGCAGCATCTCCTTGGATCGGGACACTCTGCCCTTCTCACCTCCCCCCAACCCCAGACCCACCAAGGGGACAGGAGATCTATTTGGAGCACCTCATGGCTCAGTTTGGGAGGTGAAGTATTAGCATACTCAGGCCTCTACTGGGGAAATCAAAAAGAAGCCCGAGTTATCTACTCAGCGAGGTGCACCAAAACAAGTTCTTAAATTCTTCAGAGCAGTAAATGGAAACAGAATATAGTCAAACAAAAACAAACGACAAGGCCCTTTAGTTTCTCAAAGGGCATCCACTTTCTTACCTCTCCCCCGGTAGCAAAGGAAACAGTGAGATTCAGCTGATCCTGAGAAATCAGGAGCAATCTCATTCCACAGTACAGGCGACCCTGAGCACTCAGGACTGGGAGCAGAGGCTGGGCGCTAGGCCTGCCCATACGGGAGAAGAGGGGCGCAGGGGCTCACCCCGGGGGCACATCAGTCACCCAAGGTGCTTTTAATTAAAGGCTCATGCCCTTCTCCCCTCGTTCTGACTCAGCGGGCCTCTCGTGAGATCTGGCCCCCTGGATGTCGAAGCAGCACCCAACTAACTGTGAAGCCCAGTCCCCACCGCCAGCCACCAACTGACAGGCAGGCAAGACTCCTTTTCGGCCACGTTTGACCTTCTCTTTCTCTAACACTCTGCTGTCTGAGCAGGAAAGGGAGTCAGTGGCAAAACCAACCAACCAACCAACCAACCAACCAGCTGGTCTCAAGGACCCAGTCCCCAGGTAAACACAATTTTCAAAGTACACAGACATGCAAGGAACATTAAAAAGCAGAATGGTTCTTAGGCTAACGGTTGGTCTGCCCCTGAGAAGGGCGGTTGAGAATATCTGCTATGTCACTGACTCTCCCTGATGGACCCCCACCTGCAAGAGCCGCACCTGTCTCCTGCTTCACATCCCGCCCCGCACAGCGCCCTGGGCAGCTGTGGGGGCCCGGGAGCCGCCCGTCCCTGGTGCCAGCACCGGGAGCTCTGCCTTCACTGCCCCTGCCAGCTATATACCTGCTCCTACACGCTCCTGGTTATGTCTTTTATACTTAAGCCATCTGTCCATTACACCGAAGCCATCTGTCCATTAACCTTCAGTCCTGAGGCAACTAAAGAATACAATGCTCCTTTTGGAGTGAGGGTGGGGTGGAGGTCAGGGAAGAAAATTTTCAAGTGAGCACTTGCCTCTCTCTACAGGCTCGTTTTCCAGGGAAACCCCTTCTACCGAGGTCAATGGCAGAGAGGCCACTCCCAGTGCAGAGCCCTCCTGCCCCCATCCCAGAGGCTGGGTCTCTGGTGACAGCCCTCTGGGACTTCCCTCATGGTGGCAGCTGGTCTCTCTGCTATGTCACTGACAGAAGAAGAGAATCTCTTTCTATAAAGATCAACCATTCAAAACAGGGTGACATTTGCCAGAATACATTTTCAGGGTCTGTAAATCAAATTCTGAGCCTAAACCACTTGACAGCTCTTAAAAATAGTCTGAGCCCATATTAGGCAAGAAGAGGAGCCAAAAGATGACTTGATTGCAGGCTTAAACTTTTTTTTTTTCTTATTTTTACCCCATTTTATTTTAGCTCTCTGATGGTTACCTTTCCAAATAGAATAAATTTGTCTGTGGTGTCTGACACCTAATATTAGCAAGATTATTAACAGGTGATGTATTCTTTAAACTTTTCACCGGTGGAGAGCGTCCATCCCCAGTGGCCACAGAGTGGCGGTCCACAGCCACGCCCCACAAAGCCACACACCTACCTCCTGGATATGGGCCACGATCCCGGCTTGGGTCTCAATGTCCAGCTGTTTGATTCTTTCAATAAACTCCTCTTTCCTCTCACACTGTGGAGGGTTACAGGTGTTAATGGAAGCATTCTGTGAAGGCCACCTGGGGCCACCACACTGTCCACCCAAGCCCTGGCTTTCTCCTTTGTAACCCAGGCTGCTCGTGCCCTCTTCCAGCCCTTACCTTGAGGTTTCTCTAGAAGTTGCTCCAACTATCTAGATCAGACCTACAGCAGGTTTTTAAAAAGCACATCCCAGACTGAAAACACTGGTGGTAGAATGCTGAAGTCTGCACTTTATTATTTTAAGGAGGTTTCATGCCCAGCATGGGGCTTGGACTCAGAACCCTGAGATCAAGAGTCAAACACTTAAGCCACTGAGCTACCCAGGAGCCCCTGAAATCTGCACTTTCAACAATCTCTCCACGTGATTCCTAAACTGGTAAAGAACAAGGCCACGGGCTGGCAAACTTCATCAGTAAAAGGCCAGATGGTTAAAAACCAACCCCGCAGACCCAGTGGGCCATGCCCACAGATACTACATAAAGGAATCAGCATGGCTGTGTTCCCATAAAACTTCATTTACAGAAACAGGTGGCAGGTCATTTCGGCCCCCAGGCTGCAGTACTGATCTTGCTCTAGATGTTCCCATACTAGGCACAGTCTGCTCAGGGCGTTCTGGCCCACAGGATCCCCACCTGCTCTCCTGCACAGGGTGCTCTGAGAAGTGGGTGCCACCCAAAATGGTGGCCACCGTGTCTTAGGCATCCGATGGCTTCACTCCCACCTCAATGAAGGGAGCGTTTCATCTCCACAGCTGCCAACACAAGACGGCTAAGAGCAGGCCCTCCCCACCCCGTGCCCGATCCCTACCTGGACAGCACAGCCCAGCACCAGCAGCAGCACCTTCTTTATTTCTTCCATGCTCTTCCCTAAACCAAAAGAGGAATATAAATGTAACTAAGCCCAACTATTCATAACATTTCACCACTGATCTGTGTCTGCTATAAGCGAGGCGGTGGGGGGGAGGGCAGGGAGCGGCGGTGGGATCAAGCTAGATCTTGACCTTGTACTCGAAAGTACTCTTTCAACCCAGCGATATCCATCTAGGTGTACACAGTCCATCTGTTTTCTATGCATGGGTTTATTTTTTTTTTTTGAACCAAATGAGAATTCCGTACATAACTAATTGTGGCCTTTTCCGTGCAGATAGCATAAATATCCTCTCATGATAGAATGAACTTCAGAACCAGCAGTTTTGTGTTTTTTTTTTTTTTTTTTTTTTTTTACTGTGTGGGAAGCAAAATACAATGGGAGAGAGTAATCCCCACGGGAAATACGGAGTTCTCCAAAACACAGCTGGACACCGCTTTCCTTTTCCACCACGCAGAACCTCCAGCAGCCAGAGGAACAAGCCCCCACACTCACCCACCGCCTGGCTTCACATCATGGACTGTTTGCACATCGGTTCTGTTCCCTCTCCCGTGTTTGAGTGGGATATTCTAAAACAAATCCCTAACATACACGCAGCATTTTTGATGGTCTCATCCTTACTTCGTACAAAGACCACAAACTTATTTGACCAACCTTCTTTAAGAGGTTTAAGTTTTCCATATTCTAATCTAAACAATGTTATAGAGAAAAATCTTAGTGGCTAATTCTTTATGTGCATCCTTACATACTTCTTTTAATTTTTTTAATGTTTATGTATTTTTGAGAGAGAGCAAGCGAGCACGCATGAGTGGGGAAGGGGCAGAGAGAGAGGGAGACAAAGAATCTGAAACAGGCTCCAGGCTCTGAGCTGTCAGCACAGAGCCCGATGTGGGGTTTGAATCCACGGGCTATCAGAATGTGACCTGAGCCAAAGTCAGAGGCTTAACCAACTGAGCCACCCACGAGCCCCATACTTCTTTTATTAAAAAAAAATTTTTTTTTTTTTAAATTTTTTTTTTTAATGTTTTTTATTTATTTCTAGGAGAGAGAGAGAGAGACAGCATGAGCAGGGGAGGGTCAGAGAGAGAGGGAGTCACAGACCGAAACAGGCTCCAGGCTCTGAGCTGGCAGTCAGCACAGAGCCTGACGCGGGGCTCGAACCCACGAACCGCGAGATCATGACCTAAGCGAAAGTCGGACGCTCAACCGACTAAGCCACCCAGGCGCCCCTAAAAAAAAATTTTTTTTAAGTTTGAGAGATGGGGGGGAAGAGTCCCAAGCAGGTTTGGTGCTGTCAGTGTGGAGCCTGACGTGGGGCTCGATCTCATGCCCTGAAATCATGATCGAGCCAAAATCAAGAATTGGCCTGGAGCCTGTCTTCAGATTCTGTGTCTCCCTCTCTCTATGCCCCTCCCCAACTTGTGCTCTGTCTCTCTCTCTCTCAGAAACAAACATTAGGGGCGCCTGGGTGGCTTAGTCGGTTAAGCGTCTGACTTTCGCTCAGGTCATGAACTCGCGGTTCATGGGTTTGAGCCCCGCGTCGGGCTCTGTGCTGACAGCTCAGAGCCTGGAGCCTGTTTCAGAGTTTGTGACTCCCTCTCTCTCTGACCCTCCCCTGCTCACGCTCGCTCTCTCTCTCTCTTTCTCTCCTAGAAATAAATAAAAAAAAATTAAAAAAAACATTAAAACAATTTTTTTTAAAAAAAAGAATTGGATGCTTAACTGACTGAGCCACTCAGGTGACCCTCCTTACTTTTTTTAGGACAAATAAATTGCCCTGAAGAAAGACTTTACCATTTTACTTTCTCACAACCAATAAATGTCAAGTCCCCATCCCCCATTTCCCATGCCTCAGTCTTATCACTTTTCCTTAATTGTGCTAGAGTGTCCAAAAAATCTCATTTTCCAAGGTGTCCCTTAGATTATGCTGGGGGCCAAATGCATCCTCATCTGTTTATCAATTTCAATCACTTAAATAAACAGAGTCAGAACACTGGGTCCCAGACCTGGCCTGGTCACCAAAAACAGTACGGCCCTGACAAACCGTCCTCTTTCTAGAAGCCTCAGTTTCCACATCTAGAAAACAGAGGCAGTTTATGTGATGAACTGGGTGATGTGCAAGGTTGCTATCAGGTGAAAAATTCTACAGGATTCTCCTTGTTCTATTTGGGGGAGAAGGAACATGCCACAAATAGCCTGGTTTTCTTGTGAGCATTACCAGCACGAGCTCACGCGGGCGTCCCCAAAAGCTGTGAGGATAAACAAACCAACCTGTGTCCCAGGAACTAGTGCTGTGGTTCATTCCAGGTCCCTGGGTGTAAGGTGTGTATGGAATGCTATGCGACCTTGTCCGAGTATTTCTCAACTGAGAAGCAGCTCAAAATAGCTTTTCCCAACCTCATGGTGGAGTCTTGGATGTGGGGGCTGGGCATTCGTTCAGCCTTCCAGCCGGAAGGTGGGCAGGAGGGGTCGGGAGCTGGACCACAGTTCAGAGCACTCAGATTCCACGGTGTTAGGAACACACTTAGGTTTGGCATCACACGTCAGCTTACTAGGCTCAAGCTCTTCTCTTTGCTAGTAAGGTGCACAGCTTCATCAGCATTTGAAATGGAAACATTTTCAGACTTTTATGTTTTTTTTTTTTTTTTTTACTGGAGGCCTTTTACTTGGCCCAAGAATCTAATCCATGAACATAAATAGAGAACCACAATGACTCACTCCTCTGTGAAAGCTGAGCTGACGATCACAATTTTAGCGTCGATTAGAAGGCAACGCCCACCTGAATATTAAAAGCTGCAATCTGTCTCCCCCAAATCTTTGCCTGGCCACAGTGCTGCGTTGAGTCCATGCAACTGCCCTCACCTCTGTCCCCCGATACCCGGCCAGTGCCCCTCATACACCTTCGGTGAACATGACAGGTAAAGGCCCTCCCAGCCATCGCCAGTGATTCACCTCCTCTCACAGGCCATGGGCCACACGCCTGGTGGATAACCAGCGGCGATGGGCGGGTGGGAGGAAAGCACTCCTGAGGTCCCTGATCAGCCCAGACGGACGACAGCATTCACACAGAGAATCTTTACATACTCTGTTCACAGCAAAGGCCCCGGACGTCTTCATTATATCATACTCTAGAATAATTTAAACAACCTCGATGGTCCATCTTCCTGGCTCACAACAGATGAACGAACTAAATGTGGGAACAAGCACTGAGTACACCCCCTGCCAGTAGCAGGAGCACAGGCCAGTGAGCACAAGGAAAAGCCCAGAAACCCTGTGTACGCAGACACCAAGGGCTCAAAACTACATTCTGTGGCTGTTCAGTCAAAAAGGGTTCTGTTCCCTCAGCACCCAGCACTTCACACCATGACAGCTATGAGTCATTCATTCAGTCATTTACTCACACCCATTAGCAAATTATGGAATTCCTGTTTTGCTAAGTCTTTGAGTAAGGAGGAAAGGTTTTAAAGGGAGAAAGTTTTAGAAACATTCTCACGGAAAAAAATTATTTAAAATAAACTTTTTGATAATGAACAGGGTACCAGGAAATTCATCCCTGTCCCATTCAAATGAAGCAATGCTGTGCTCATTCTCACCAGGCTAAGTGAATACAAACATTTCCTTTAATAAATGCATCCGGGGGCACTTGGGTGGCTCATTTGGCTGAGTGTCCAACTTCGGCTCAGGTCATGATTTCACGGTTCGTGGGTTCGAGCCCCACACTGGGCTCTGTGCTGACACCTCAGAGCCTGGAGCCTGCTTCAGATTCTGTGTCTCCCTCTCTCTCTTTCTCTGTCCCTCCCCGGCTCATCCTCTGTCTCTCTCAGAAATGAAAAAACATCTTAAAATATTAAAAAATAAATGCATCCTGTGATTTTTACCCCTACAGATTCCTATGAAGTTAAAAAAAATTCTATAAAAATAAAAAATGGAAGAATACACGCTCCCTCATTTCTTCTGAGAAGCTGGTGGCCAATTTCTCTCAGGATTTCAACAGTAAGGCAAACTACTGCTATTTTCATAACTCTGCCAGATTGTGGGGCTTGAATAGTTTCAAAACATACCCGAAGAGTCTGGACTGGGTCCCTGCCAGCAAGACTGGCTCAGGGACACACTGAAGCAGGCCAAGAAGAGATAAACCTACAGGCAACTCCCTCCCAAGCACCCCCAGGGCTGGAGGCTCACTGAGAACAGAATTGGAATCAACACAGTCCCCTGAGCGCAGACCAAGACAATCAGCAATTTGAGAAAGCTGGTAAATGCTACGGAAACCCAGAGAGAGGACACCTAGTTTACAGTAAGGATCAAGCAAGGCTTCCTAGAGGCAATGACCCCTGAGCTGAGACCCAAGGATGACGAGACATGCGGAGGCAGGAGAGTCAGGACTTTTCTGGCACAGAGATCAGCATGTGCAGAGGCCCAGAGGTAAGGGAACATGGCGTCCGTCAACTATAAAAGCTTTGTGGTTACGGGTGGGTTACCAGAGTGAGAAATGGGGGCGGGGTATGAAGTGATGTTCGTTTGTCTACCAAGTGAGTCACAGGCAACCAAGGGGGGGAGGGTCGAAAACATCCGACACCCTTTGCATCTACCCGCAACCCCAGGGGGAATCCCATGACAGCCTGCGCTAACGGTTGCATCTAAGAAAAACCTTACTTTCCTACCTGCTTCCTACAGTCCTGACACAGAGAAGCTCACACCAGCCTTTCTGAGCAGAAACAGAAAGCATATGCTGATCTAAGACATACATACAGTTACAGATGTTTCTAGCAACCCGCTTCCAAAACACAAGGGAAACTATCTGATACTGCATGTGTGGTTGAGGGTAGACAGAAGACAGAAACTAGGTAGAAAGAAGTGTATGTTTTTTTTGTTTTTTTATGAACTTCACTTATTTCTGAGACAGCAAGCGAGTAAGTCAGCAGGGAGAGGGAGAGGGAATCCCAAGTAGGCTCCCCACTATCAGCACAGAGCTCACCATGGGGCTCGATTCCACAAACCG